ATCTTAACATAATCATATCATCTCAATGGCTTGCTGGCGTCACCTTTCAACCAAAAATGCCCTGCGTCATTCCTACTTGGCTATGGCTCTCAGCACTGGCTTCCTGATGGGGTCAGCCCACCATGACCATGGTAACCTCACACTCACACACCTCGCACCCCATCCAGGTGCCCTCTAAGACTGAGCTCAGCTGGGTGTCCAAAATCCCAACCCCAGCCTCATTCTGCAGAAGGGAATAGATGGCTTGCAGAAAAGAAGAGAGGTAGGGAAAACCAAAAGTTAGCATCAGCAGGTCTCTGGCAGGCATGTGATCTTAAGCCCCGCTTGGGGCCTGACATCAGGAACTATGTATTTCTTCCTTCCTGAGGTGATGGGTGGTGGGTTTGCTCAGAAACTCATGAGAGAACAGGAAAATTTCACCTTGTAGTTCAAATCACCCGCCATACCCTGTGGGTGTCATTGCTCTTGTGTTATGGGTTCAAGGGTGGTGAGGCCTCAAAGGTGGGCAGCCAGTAGAAGCTCAGAGGAAAGATGAGTCCTTCCCTAGTGGGGAATCTCTCCCTTGGATCACATGGGAGAGCAGGGTTTAATTGTATTTAAGGAAAGGTGGCATCCCCCAGAAGCTCCCTGGGTATGGGTGAGCATAGCCATGTCTACACTAGAGTTCCCAGTTCTCAGGGGCCCCAAAATAGTTCCACTGGAGCTGTGAGGCCTCCAGCAATTCAGACCCAAGAGTCTGCAGCTCTTAGAGGCAGAGTGGACCCAGAAGTTCAGCCTGTTCTGCGTAGGTTGGTCATCTGTAGAATAGCCCCCGTTCTAAGAGGGAAACCAGAGAGGAATTTTCCACCTTCTTCATTTTCCAAACACACACCCTGGATCAATCAACCAAACAAGCATGTGTTGAAAGAGAGTTTATAACAGGAGGCAGGATCAAGCTGAGGAAAGGTCAACTCTGACACAACAGGAAGCCGTCTGAGTCACTGCAGGGTCCCCACAGGAATAGAAAGCACTGAGGCCAAGCCCGCCCACCCCCGTTTCCCCATTCCCCAGATTAGTCCAACAGTCTATCAAGCACTCGCACATGCATATCGTCATCTCAGTTCAGCTTCTGAGGAAAGACCATACCTGCCCAGACACTTCACGGGATGTGACTCAGTCTCTCCTAAGCCTCACAGGCAGAAGGGGAAAGGCCAAAACAAAGTGGGCATTATTGACCACTCAGTTATTACAGGGAACCTAGGGACTCAGCACCTGTAGTCACCTTCTCTCTCACCTGATCACTTTTGGAAGCCCCATGCTCAGGTCAGCTCCTGCCCCTCAGGTTGTCCCATCAGTGCTAGGCTTCACTTCCAAGAAGGAGGGTAAGACCCTGTAGAACTGCATCTCTGCACCAGGCCCAGCTGGTTAAACAGGAGAAAAATTAATGGTGGTCTTCAGTTTTCAGATAACCTGTGTTTTTCTGCACTCATGGCTGACCACCTAACCCTTCCTACCTATGCAAATTTGGACACAAGACCATCAATTGGCTTTTGGGTATTTTGAGCCATTACCTACCAACCTACCGTTCAGTAATGAGGCCAGGCTAATTCAATTATTCTCCTTTTGGCTGTATTGGATCCCTTCTACAGTGTTAAAAGTTCACGGGAATTTAAAAAATACAAGTGCCCCAGCTGGTGATAATGAAATGGAAAACAGCAGAACTGTTGAGGATTCAAACTGGCAGATACCTGGTATAAGGTTTGCACTTCTTGATTGTTAGCAGCTTGATTACATGTTCAGTTGAGACAAAGGTTAAAGAACCCCTACAAAATAGTGGATAAAACTGACTGAGTTTAGTGGTTGGGTGAGAGGAATTCCAGCACCTCTCCCCCCAAATTTCCATTGAGATTTAGCCATCTTTGATATGGGTAACTAACTTCTCCCTCTTAAGTAGAAGGCTATAAAGATCCCCCACCCAAATCCCTTAACCACAGGAGATTTTTATTTCTCTCTCAAAGATCTTATTGTACTCTACTTACCCTTTTTGTGATGACATGAGAAGGTATTTAAAGGAAGGGCTTTACCACTTCTTGTCAGCATATCCAAATTGCTTAACAATATCACTTAGGGGTTATTATTAAGTAAAATAAAGATTGCTTGAACAGAAGCACTGATATAACAACAGATCTGCTAACTGAGATGGCTACTAACTGGTGGGTAGCATATACAGCACAGATACACTGCACAAAGGGATGGTTGGTGGATGGGGCCATGCAAGATTTCATTACACTACTCAGAATGGCATACAGTTTAAAAACTTATGCACGCTTTACTTCTGAGATTTTTCCATTTAATATTTCCAGATGGCAGTTGACCATGGGTAACTGAAACAGAAAAGTAAAACTGACAATTAGAGAAGATCACTACACAAATGCTACCCCAGGTTCTTCTCAACTACCACCACCCCAAACAAAGGGTGCCCCTGAACTGCTTCAGAAATTCTAGAGTGAAGCAGGGTCTTCAAGGAAAATTGGCAAGTTTCATTAAACTTGTGCTTGTGTCAAATGATGGTAAGAAGTGAACACCTCCAGGACCTTAACACCTGCAAATCTTGTTTGGAATCATGGCTGTTGAAGGACCAAGGAACAATTGGTGATGGTCTGAGATGGTGGGACTGACTTTAAGGCTGGGGCAGGGTTGACCCTGTACTGTCTACTCCAGCCTAGTCCTTGGGAGGCCCAAGCTAGGGATGGCACTGTCAAGAGCAGATGCCTTTTGAAGGTTCTTCCTCCAAATGCTCCTTGGCCTGGGTTACTACCTAGCTGAGTGGTCGCTACTGAAAATTAGTCCTGGCTTTCAGCATTATTTAGCATCTGCCTCCCAAGACTGGCCTTCAAAGCTCCTTAAGTCCCTCCAATCAAGACCAAGTAGTAAGGACAATAATCAGAGGTTCCATCAGGAAAGAAGTCTCGTGAATATCCAGGGCAATCAGGAAAGGCTGGGGTCCTTGTGTAAGCAGGACAGAACGCTACCAGCAGGAGAAGCTGGGGGGCCTGGACAGCTCCTCCAGCTGAGCCCTCACAGTACAGCACAGCTGCAGGTCCCATAGATCCAGATAGAGAGCACCCTGTCTTCACGGGCTTTTTCTGTCTGACTTTGAGTAGTAGATTAGGATTTCCCCCACACCATAAGCTGCCTTCTGCAAAACATTCAGTGTCTACTGATGTTTTCTCTGTAATGAAAGCTTTTCTCCAAATAGCATGGGCAGAGTTCTTTCAAGTGTGTCCAAGTTGCATATAAATGACCACTACATATAATGCCCATACCGAACTTGACTCGCGCCACCACAAAAATGAAGGAACTCGGAGAGGTTGATCAGCTTCTGAAGGGCTGCACAGGTGTAGTGTGGAGATGGTGAGTCCCCTTTCCTCTTAAAATCACCAAGCACACAACCTCCAGGTTCCAGATTCCTAGGAAGCTGTGGACTCTCTAGTCCAGGCTAGAGATGGACATTAGTTAAGGCCAATGCATCCTGCTAGGGGTGGGGCTCATATAAATCAAAGCACAACTTAGAAGACCAAGATTGCTGCAGTCTGGCTGGGCACAATTGATGAGCCATTTGTCAAGCAGAAACGAACTTTATTTTTAGAGCACACGCAGCACCACAGGAGCTCTGCAGGAATTCCCTCAGAGCCCAACTGCCACCACCGGCTTCCCACAAGCCTCTCAACCCCCACTCCTCCCGCTCTTGAGGCCGATTGGCTGGGTCGCATGGGCAGAGCCAAAAGAGTCCCCCAATGAGCAGCTCCGTGGTCTGAAAGGGCGGGGGAAACAGCCCAATGAGCATCACCACAGAGGAGCCAATCAGCTGGCAGCTGGAAGTTTGCTGGGGCCGCTGTGAGCCAATCAGCTGGAAGATTACTGGGGCCCCTTTGGCTGTGGCTCTCAACACAAGACACCTGTCCCTCTCCATCTCAGATTACTAGAGGCTTCCGTCAGTCACTTCAATTCTTCAGGGCCTTAGTCTCCCCCATGGTAACCTGTTCCCATCACAGCCCACACACAAGTGAATAAGGCACACTGGCTGACCAGGAAAGGCTTAAGACTCCAGACACACCAGGAAGAAATACAGTAGCCCCCTTATCTGGGGTCTCACTCCCCAGGGTTCCAGCTATTCCTGGTCCACCCAAGCTTGGTGCCATCTCACATCCACTCAGGAAGCAGAGTGCCCAGCATAGTGAGATGTTTCATGGGAGAAAGAGAAAGAGAGAGAGAGAGAGAGACCACATTTACTGCATGTTTATTGCAGTATATTGTTACAATTGCTCTATTGTATTAGTAGTTATCATTGTTAATCTCTTACTATGTCTAATCTACACATTCACCTTTATCTTGAGTAGGTATTATAGGAAAAAAAGATGGTGCTTACGGGGTTCAGTACCATCTGGAGCTTCAGGCATCCACTGGGATCTCACACTGTGTCCCCTGTAGATGACAGGATGCTGCAGCTCCGGAGACCTGTGATGCATTGTGTGCCTCTGGGCTAGATCAAGTACCACTGAAATTGTCAGGCTGAGTTTCTTCTCAAAGAATATTTAGATCTAACTCATTCACCCAAGTTGCTAATCACTGACCCTCTAGATAAAGTCCTCAAAAATTCTGAGATCAGGTCTTATAAATATAGAAACAAACACAAAACAAAAGGCTAACGCAAGCATCTTAACCCCACATCCACGTCTATTGACTCATTAGAAGTTTCCGCTGAAGAGCTTGAAAACACGTCAGCCAAACTTCTAAAAACATAGCGAAGATTGTTTGTTTTACAGAGAGATGTCCATGGCCTTTATCAAATTATCAAAGGTGGAGATCACTGCTATGGGGTAACCCTTACTGATCTTTAAAATATTTGTCCATATTTTTGCAAATCTCTGAGCACAGCAATGAAATCGTTCCACCTGGAGAACCCTGCACAGCGTTCAAACATGTGAGATGTCATCTTTTTGAGAAAGAGAGTTTTCACATAAGACACAAAATATATTTTAATAAAAGTAATATTAAAATATGCTAGTGTAATCCATTAAGATTATTACAGCTTGAATTAATAATACATCTTGAATACTTTTAAACAGAAAGAAACTTCAAACACATATGGGATGGGGGTAGCTTTTTGACCTAAAAGTAAAGTTCTGGAATTGAATTCTCCAACAGGCCCGGGTCTCCCATAAATCAGAGGTTTTTCCAAAAATACTTTTTCTTCTGATGAGTTCGCATTTCTTTTCTACAACCAGTCTCAACTGAGGTCCAGTGAATGCCATCAGAATAAATAAGTAGTCACTGGAGAATTCATTTCCTGAAATTCACAGGCATACTAGGAGCCCCTTAGAGAGGACACACCCCAATTTGTCCCCTACTTCCTGAAAAGGACACTGCATCTGCTTTCCTGCCTCTTTTGGAGGAAATGACTGGGAAGGACAGGGGAGTTCCAAATCAGAACAAGGGGGATTCCCCAGATTCTCTACAAAGCGTGAGCTGGTGATCACTCCCCGACTGGAGTCCAGATTTTTCTGCTCCCTGAGATGTGTGCCTCCTGCTCCAAGCTGGCTGCCTGGTGTGGCCAGGTTCCAAGCCAGGCACTGTAATGTGAGCTGCCCTCAGCCAGCCTGCAGTCCCCAGCTTCTCCAGCATTGCAGATAACCTCCCAGGACAGACCAAAACCTAGAGGGTGAGGGGATGGGATGGGGAACAGGTGAAAGAGAAAAGGTATTGTACTTCAAATCCTCCATGAGGAATTCCCATGTCAGAGTGGTAAACAAAGAAAGAAATGACAAGCAGCTGATGAGAAGGTCCCTTGATAAGCTTCTTGCTTTTGAGGACTTTCCAGAAGTAGAGTCTACGCTCTCCTCTCACTCTCCCCGCTAGGCAGAAAACATGTTAAAAGGAGGAAAGACGACAGGGGGCGCTGTGTAAGAACAGGATGAACCTGGAGGGCGCTGTGCTCTGCGAAATTAACCAGCCACAGGGAGATGCATACTGCTCCACTGCACCTCCGTGAGGTCAGACTCACAGACCAGAAGACTGGCGGTTGCCAGGGTCTGGGGGAGGAGGGGGAGGTGCTTATTTGTTGGGCACACCATTTCAGTCTGCAAAGATGGAAAGGCTCCGAGGTGAGTGGTGCTGACAATCTCACAGCCAGTGGGCATGTGCTTGATGTCACTGAAATATCCACTTAAAAAATAACTAGGATGGTAAATTTTTAGGTTCATCTATTTTTGCCACAATTAACTTTTTTAGAAGCAGGTGTTAACTAACAATACTGAATGAGGGCTTCCTGCTAAATCACCTTGAAATGTCAATTAAAAGAATGGAGAGGGCTCTGTAGCACCTGCACCAGACACTCCAGGGGCACAGGCCTGTGGGACCCTGCCCCCTCCTGGCCACCCTGTCCTCCTTCCACGTGGGACCACTGTGGCTGGGCCTGGCCTCCTGTCCCTGGGCTGACTCACTTCCAGCCCTGGATAGCTCTTCCTTAACACGGGCCACTGTTTAAATCTTGGGATCATCAAACATGGCTTGAGAGAGTTCAACTGTAACTAATGTCCTCAAGTTAGGTTTTGCAAAGTAGTGAAGAGGCCTGACAGCTAATTCTTAGTATTAAAAATCATTGGCAAATCGTTAAATCATAAACTAACCTTTGAGAAGGGCGTACTCACTAGGGGAAAACACATGTTGCTTTCCTCAGACCAGAATTACTCCACCTCCTGCGTCCAAAAGGAAAAATCAAAAAAAATTCTTACTCCTTGCCAGGCATGATGACACACATCTATAATCCCAGCAGCTCAGGAGGCTGAGGCAGAGGATCACAAGTTCAAAGACAGCCTCAGCAACTTAGTGAGACCATGTCTCAAAATAAAAAAAACAATAAAGGCTGGCTGGAGATGTGGCTCAGTGGTTAACTGCCCCCGGGGTTCATTCTCTGATTTAAAAAAAAAAAAAAAAATCTTACTTATTTTGGTTTAGCAGGTAAAGTCTTTCAAAGGACAGGATTCCCTGGGTGGGTGACCACAGGACACTCATAGTGGTACCCCAGGGGGGTCTCCCACTGTTCTAGCTGACGGCAAAGTAGCTTCCAGGGACACCAGGCCAAAGCTGTGGTTACAGCTGTCTGCCTGCCCTGGAGGAGCGAGTAAGGGGGATTCCAGCACCTCAAATACTGCTGGGGAGCAGAGCCCTGTGGACACTGGGTGGGGAGAAACAAAGTGTGGTTCTGGCCAGTCTTCCTCAAGTCACTGACTGCCCTCCCGCCATCCCTAGACTACCCAAGCTCCAACTTCAGAACTCACAGTCAAGCTTTCTGACTCTGTATATCCACTTCGACAGCCCTCTGTATCCCATTCCCATGGGGCCGCAATGCCACATCCATCCCTTGCTCAGTGAGAGCTCACCAGTCTCCAGGACCCATTAAGTTCACGGGCCCTCGGGAGAAGTGATGTCTTTCCCTAAAAAACTAAGTCTGATCAAAACAAACCAACCAAGCAGCACAAAACAGCAAGCTTTGGGGCAGAGAGCCCAAATGAAATGCGTCCTTGGCCAGCCACAAGATACCATGAGGGGACAATTCTCAGTCAGCGGCTGATGAGCCCCATTTTGGTCTCCATTTGCTGGCTGGGAAATTGCAGGGTACGAGCTTCAGTGAGTGGACCGGAGGAAGGCGGGAACCTTTTGGGCGGCATGTGGTATCTCACTCTTTTCCAGAACTTGGTCTTGGCACACTGAGATGCCTCTGTGAGGTCCCCCCTCCACTGGATGGCCCCGTGCTTCTGTCTCATGTACTGAATTGACTCTGGCATGGTGGTGTAGTCCTCAATCTTCTCCAGTTCAATCAGAATGACCTTCATCCCAAGCTGGATGAGGGCGTTGTAGACGGCGATTTGTTCTTCTGACATGTTCTTTAGCAGACCAAAGCTGGGCGACTCGGGGACTATAATGAGGATCAGCCTCCTGCACAGCTTAATGTTTTCATCAATGACATTGGCCACAGCTGGAAACAAAGAATGAAGACTCAGCCTGGGTGGTAATGCTACGGAGCACATTAGAAAGGGTCACTGAGGAGAGGAAATGGCCTTTAAAATCAACCCGATCTGGGCAGGAATGGATTAATAAAACTTGAAGCCTTCCTGGCTCTCTCATTACTTGTGTTTTGTTTTGTTTGGGGAAGTCTGTTGTTATGTCAGTTTCCCTAGCTAACAAGTATTTATCATGCCTAGCTTTGTATCCCCCCAATAGCTGAAGGTCTATTATATATTACAGAATGAACAGATTTATAAAATAAATTTTAGAAGGACAGGAAAAACGTAGTTAGTTCAAATGTTGTGTTAGTCTAACATTTGTATTTTCCTTTGGTTCTTTACAGCTATTTACATAACCAGAATTTATGTGACTGATTTAGAAACCAAATAACACCCACTGATGATGGCTTGCGGGGCGGGGGCCGGGGTGGGGAGGCGGGGAGCGTTCTCCAAACGCCTGGCTCTGCAGATATTTGGTGTGCAGTTGTCTCCAAGGGGATATAAGAGTAGACTGTCACCTCCTCAAGGACAGGTTCTTTGAGTGTTTGGCTTCCTTTGGGTTTCTAGTATCTGGACAAGTACACAGTGTATGGAAGAACTCAGTGATTAACTGCTCTATTAGTGAGCAAATGTATTTCCTAGTGAGTAAAAAACAGATAGCCAGGCGCAATGGCACACGCCTGTAATCCCAGCAGCTCGGGAGGTTGAGGCAGGAGGATCATGAGTTCAAAGCCAGCATCAGCAAAAGCAAGGCACTAAGCAACTCAGTGAGACCCTGTCTCTCAATTAAACACAAATATAGAGCAGGGGATGTGGCTCAGTATTTGAGTGCTGGGGAGTTCAATCCCTGGTACCAAAAAAAAAAAAAAAAAGGGATTTTAGATCATAGACATTTTGCTGCACAGTCCTGAAAGGAGAACAAAGGAGATGAGAGGAAACTTTCGTATCAAATGTTGACGCTGTCCTAAGCTCCCTACTGGAGCCCACTCAGGTTAGTTCTCGTAGTGGTGTTAAAGAAGCATCCCTATCCCCATTTTACAGATGAGACAAGCGAGGTTCAGATACTGAATGAATTGCCCCAAACCTCATGCCAAAATTAAATGGGAGAAGTATATTAAAAACTTCGACTTCTTTTGGATAGAGAAGGAGCCTGTGGAGTTGAGCTTCATAAATCAGCTTTAACATCACCTGACTTGTATATTTAAACCAATTGGGGAATTCAGTAGGTAGACTCAACTACAGGAGTTCAAATGATCATTTTCTTCTTTGAGTGTTTTAACCAAGACTCTGTTCCTGGCCACCTGTTGACATGAACAGGTAAGGTACATCCTCACTCCAAAGATGGGCTCGCAGTACTGCAACCAGAATCCCAGACAGGGGCATCTTGGTGAGCCTGATGAGAGAAGGCAGCTTGTTCCACCTGCCTGAGCTCCAGTCACGGCCTTCCCAGGACTCTCAGGGCAAGGTGAGCAGAGTGCGCCATTTGTATGTAACATGAAGGCAGACAGGGGTCTCCTTGCCTTTTTTCATTTACTATTTGGTACCGCACTTGAAACGCACCTTGTCCGGGGAATTCATCCCTGCCGAATATGAACAACTTGTATCTGCACTGTCTCTCCAGCACCTCGGGCAGGAGCTTCAACACCAGAGTATCCACATCGTGCCTCTGGCTTTCTTTTTGAGGCTTGGGGTACAAGACATATGCATCATACAGCTTCCCGTCTGAAAAGGAAATGGGAGAAACTCACACAGTGATTCCTACTGAATCCCCTTCTGTGGACAAGGCGAACACCTGAGCTGCTGCCATGAAGCCCTCTGTCCTTGGGTTCAATGACTTCTGTGTGTCCAGCCACCAAGTTGGCACTCACAGGCCACCGTAGCCCTACTAGGTGAGAATGGAACACCAACCCATCCCCACTACATAAGAATGAAGCTGAAGCAGGACAATGACTTCATTCTGCAGTTTCTCAATCCAGCCCAAGCCCTCTGATTTTATGGACACCGCTGCCTTTAAATGGGGCCCCAAAACAAGAGGAGACTGAGATTCTACCAACATCATCCTCAGTGCATGCTTCACCAGGGAAAGCGGGCCCAATCCCTCTTGATTTAGACCCACCAGTAAATTCTGTCAGTTCAGTTTTGCAGGCTGGCATTGCAGTCAGAGAATGAGCCCTTTGAGTGGACTGTGACTGTGCCTTGCAGGGCTGAGAAGTCCATGCAACAGCCACATCACCATCATGAGGATGAGCAAGAATTCACTGAGAGCAGAACAGTGTCTCCACTCAGTGCAAAGAGGAACTAGACACAGGACATAACTGGGCAGACCATTCACATACACAGAAGTAAAACAACACGAGGCACTACAAGATGACGACAGCTAAGTGAACAGAAGAAACAGAAAGAAAAGAAAGTCCCCATCCTTTGAAGCTCTTAATAAAAATTGCAAAGGACATGCAACCGAGAGGATTTTAAAGAAATGAGGGTCTGAGAGTGCAGGGTAAACAGGCAGAAAGGGGAGCAGCTTAAGACGAGTGTGGAAGGGGGAACATTGATGGCCTGTTCAGGAATCCTGGGAATGACACTGGGGTAGAGGGTGTGAGTGGAAGAAGAGCCGGTTACACCCAGCTGTGGGCATCTCATTGGAATATGTGATTTCAAGCTTCAGGTTTTGGAAATTCAAAGCCAACCTAATGGGTACCAGGAGGACATCCATTCTTCTCTTTTCTCTTTTTATGGGAGTTTGATGAACAGACTTGGAGAAAGGTGTGGTTCAGAAATTAACAAGTGGAATCAAAATCTCTAGTTTCTGTGTAACAGTAATTAAAATGTCTATTTTGACAGTAGTTAAAATGAATACTATTCTAGGTGACATGTTGCCTTCTCTTGTTCCATCAATTCCCACACCAACACTGCCGATCTCCAGGTCTCTGGTCACCATTCTTGGCCATCCTGTGGAGAATGACAAGGCATGTGTACACACACATCTGTGCATGCTCCTGCAAACACATGCTCAGGCACATGCCGTCATACACATACATGCACATGATGCAATTGTACCATGCTTGCATATGCATGCACTTCTCCCCACCCTCTGCCATGAAGGACACTGGGTGATATTGGGGACTCTGGATCCCTGCTCTATGTTCAGCACCAGGAGCAGGACCCTGCTCAGAAGAGTGCCCAATCAGTATCGATGAGAACGTCTGAATGGAGTTCCATTTTGCAAAGACTTAGACAGGTTACATCTATGTTGTTGGACAGGGAGGTTCTAGATCATGGGTGGATTCAGCCTTTTAATGGATAGTATCATGGGACATTCATTAAGGGAACAATTAATTTGTGTCTAGAGATGACCAAAATCCAACACAACTGAATTTTCTGTGAAATCTTAAAGGTCTCCAGACTAGACCAGCATTCCAAATAGCGGATATGTTTCTGTATAAACTTAAATGTTCCATTATCAACTTCCTGGAACTATAAATTTTTTATTAAGAGAGAAAAGATGAAGGAAAAAAAGATAAAGATTTTGTAAAATGTTCATGTTTTTCAAAATTTTAGGAAGGAATTAAATTTTCCCATTCGAAAATTTGGTAATATTGATCCTTTTGTCTCTGAAAGAGGGTTGTTTGTGTTGGTGGTCTGCTCAACCCAGAGAATAGCTCCCCTGGTGTCTTAGCTATAGCTAACCCTCAGCTTCGTCACCACTCTGTCCCAGGGCCTGCCACTGGATTCTCCCTCTTATCATTCTGCTTCTCCTCCCCGCCCCCACTGACTCTAATTTTAAAACAAACAAGCAAACAAAAAAATGAACCACTTTTGCTAAGTGTCCTCTCTTTGATATTCTGTATCTAAACAAGCCATCTGAGGATACACATTCACCTTGCTCTACAAACCCAGAAGATATTTGGGTGGTCAGAACTCACCTTTCAAAAAGTTTTTAAAATTCAAAATATAAAAATGTTCAACTTTTTTGTTCAATTTTTTCTTTCTAAGTTTTTTTTTTTTTCTTTTTGCAGTGCCAGGAAGTGAACCCAGCATTTCTCACCTGCTAGGCACATGATCGACCACAGAGCTTCATCCCTAGCCCTCTGACTAATGCTTTTGAATAAAAATCCTCTTTGCTGCCTTGTTTTAAAAAATGCAATGTGTTTTCATCACTTTCGATGGACCAATCCATAATTTACTGACCAGTATACTAAAAAATCATGCAGGGAACGGCATAAAGCTTATTCCCAATCAATCTTGTGCAACTGTGACTGATTTTATTCTCCAAAGGCAGCCCCAGCCACATTTCTGGTCCTACATGTTCTTTCAGAATGTTGCCACACCCCTACAAAGAGGGGAATCTATTTCCACTTCTTTGAAATTAGGGAGGCCTCCATGGCTGCCTCAAAAAGTAGGATGTAGTGGAATTGGCAGTAGAAATCCAGGAGGCCTAGATTATACCAGAAAAACACAACTTTTCCCGGGTTCTCTTGCTCCTGAAATGCTCACCCTGGGAAAACAGCCACCATTCCTTGAAGAAGCTCAAATGTGACACACAGAGAGAAGACTTGAAGAAACTCTTGCAAAGAGGGGCTGAAGCCATCAGCCAACAGCCAGAGTCAATTGCCAGTGGTCCAGCTGGAACTGAGCTGGGCTGTCCCCACTGTGTCTGTCCATGTCCCTGGTCCCCAGAACCCATAAGCAGAATGAAGGGCTGTTTTACACCATGACATTTTGAGGTAATTCATTTCCCAGCCAAAATAGTTACTGGAACAGCAAGTAACGAGGGGCTGACCGTACCCTATTTCATCAAGAACATTTCAGACACACAGACCTACTGGTGAGCATTCTGAGGACAATAAGCCCTGTGGACACTCACACGACCCATCTCTCTATACTGGGGAGGTGACAGTTTATCCACATCCTGGCCAAGCGCCTTTCATTTTCTGAGGAGATTCAACCTGATCTTCAATATTAAAGTATGTGCATGTGCTCTTATTGATTGTTTGCCAAACACACACAAAAAATCTGACTTTTATAAACTAGTATTTATGAAAGATTGCCTAAAAACTATTCAATTCTTGACTTTCTCTCAATTTGATATTGTTAAATTTTAGACGTGAGGGCTGGGGATGTGGCTCAAGCGGTAGCGCGCTCGCCTGGCATGCGTGCGGCCCGGGTTCGATCCTCAGCACCACATACAAACAAAGATGTTGTGTCTGCCGAGAACTAAAATAAATAAATATTAAAATTCTCTCTCTCTCCCTCTCTCACTCTCTCTTTTTAAAAAAAAAAAAAAAAAAAAAAATTTAGACGTGATTAACCCAGAGCAGAAGAAAAAAAAAAAAATCGGACAGGTTCAATGTACCTTCGTCTAAATGCCTTTAGTGGTTTGGGGTATTCAGCTCCAGCATGCATAGAAGTCAGTAAAAGGAAAGATACCTAAAATATGGTCATACATTTACCACAGAAATGTCACAGACAGGGTTTTTTATATCACACCCTTTAAACAGAGGACATTCCCCCCCAAAAAAATCTCCCTTGGGAATGAGTCCCAGAAAACACCATGTTCTCTCATGAGCAATTGAAAGGTTTTTGTGAACAGTAATATTAATAAATCTTGTAATTGCCTTTGCTTTAGCTTTGAAAACAAATTCAGCTTTAACTACCAAGACTTGTCATTAGCTCTACCTCCAGCTTATTTAACCTTTCTACCCTTTGTTCACTGTATCTGTTTTGGTTTTTTTCTAGTTCCTCTGCTCTCCATGCACATTCTCCACACTCCTACCTGGAGTATGAGGAGGCATGTGCGATCCCTCCAGGAGCCTAGTAAACTAATCCCTCCATTCCTGTGCACACACGCCCACCTGCCAGAAGAGCTCGACAGAGGATATACAGAATTCTCTGACTTCAGCCGGGCCTGAGAATGACTCATACGAAAACCAAGAGTTAGACTCACCTAACTATTCACCATGTCACACAGCTTGATGAACCTAGTTGGGGTAGATGACTTATCTTACTTATCGGGCATGTAAGAGGACATCATTTCTCTCTCCTCCCTTGTCTCTGCCATCCATTACTCTGTTTGTTCCCAGATCACTTAGAAAATATCCTCAAGGGAAACAAAGCCACAAACGAGATCGGGGTGAATGTCAGAGTCTATCACCAGCGCATTGTGAAAGCCAACACTTGTATTACAAGGGAGTGAGGTGTAGACAATTTAATCACAAAGCACACACATTCTTTCCGGAATTAAAAATTAAAAATAAAAGGGACCATTGGCTGCCTGTCAGCCCACTCACTGGTTGTGGGGAAACTGGGCGACAGCCAGGTTTGGCAGTGGGTGGGGCTCTCTGAGTCTCCTCTGCTCTGCGTGTCTGCTTGGCATGAGTCACTTTTCCTTTTTTTTTTCTTTTCCTGTTAACCTCAACTCACTGACAGTCAGCTTCACCAGGCACTCTGCTCGATACCAATAATTCACAGCCAATCGTGCTCCTGCGAGTTCCAGTGAGTCAGAGAGGGACAAATGCCAAGGAGTCGGAAAAGCTAGACCTTCCAGAAAGACCACGTCAGTGAGGTGATCCTGTTAGTCAAGACAGAAAGCAGCCGAACCACTCATATCTGCGTCAGAAGAAATAAATGGTGGTGGACCCGATCCTCTTCTCAAAAAGGACGACAGTCACAAGCGCTTAGAGCAAACTCTGTGCTGACCCTAGCCAAAGCCAGATATACACACTCCCAATCCATCTGCAGCCCTAGGAGCGCTGCATGCTGCGCTTGGCACACAAGGCCAGAGTTGGACATGGCACTTCATCACCCACCAGGCACCTGCTGCTCTCTTCGTTGCTTGGGGTCTGCCGATGCTTCTCGTTGTTCTATTTTCTTTTCTTTTTTTGGTACTTGGAACGGAACCCAGGGTCTCATACATATTAAGTACGTGCTCTATCACTGAACTGCACACCCAGCCCCTGTGGTGCCAATCTTTAATCCTGACTTTTAACTTAGAAGTAGTCCAGGTTAGGACACCTATATTTTATCCAGTATTACAATAACTTGTGCCATAATTTTCATATGCAAAGCAGGCACTTAGAGTAACCGTGCTCTTCTATACATAAGCTACTTATAAAAACATGCTCTGATCAGCACTACAAGTCTCTGGACTGGAAAAGTTTAAATATGTACATCCCTCATCCTGTGTGGACTTCTCTTGGCTTTGTACCAATTTTTCCAAGCAATGAAAGAACATTAGAGCAGATTTATTACCTTTTTAAAGGTCACGTCCATTCTGAGACCAGAGAGAGAGAGAGAGAGAGAGTGTGCAGAGTCACAACCACACCACCCCTTGAGGATCACACTGGGGAATCTTCTTGTCAAATAGCTCTGGCAGGAGAGTAAACGGGGAACTCAAATTCACACTCAGGTCCATCTCTCTTCAACATTGAGAGTTGGAGACTGAAACCCCTTTGGGTAACACATCCTGGACCTAAGGGAGGACAGCTCCTACTCCCCATAATATAAACAGTACTCGAGTTGCCATGGTGCTGAGGACACATCACAGAAGGACAGCACTTTGCTCTTGGAGACAAAAAATACTGGTGATCGTGGACAAATCTCTCTGAAGCACTGTAAGTTCCAGGGAGTTCTAAATTTGCCAATAGCATGAAAGTCAAGTTTGTGAAATACGACAAAGTCTATTTGAAATGGTTATGCTGACGACAAGATACCAATTTTAAGGCATTTCTCAGAGAATATGCACACACTTACCTTCTATGGCCTTGGTAGAACTGAAGGCACTCCGATACCAAAGTACAATGTCGATCTTAAAATAATTGTAGATGCATAGAACAGATGTGACCACAATGGCCAAAGCAATCAGCCCTCCTACCAAGTAAGCGCGGAAATCTGGAGCTGCAAATGACAGCAAAATAACATCATCATAATCCAGAGAGTTGATTAAACCCTTTATTCAGAGACATTACAGTATAAATTCCAAAGGTAAGTGTATTCGATATCAATGAGGACACTACTTAAATATTTCTTTAAAGTTAAATAACAGGTATGGGGGTAGAATAATCTGATCTGGGCCATGGATTTTAGGAAGCAAATGGGCTTTTGGGCACTAGGAAGAGAAAAACTGCAGAAGTCTTCCTTCTCATTCCCACTGCAGGACAACTGCTTTCCAACTCTGCGTGTCCTGGTTCTACGCGGTCAACACCAGACGCTCCAGCGGTTTGTTTGAAACATTCCCCAGTTTTTACTGCACAATCTTGATCCACGGCACGTCCTGATTACAATCCTATATCACATTGCTCCCCCGTCACTACACACTGAGGAGCATGACTCCCGGGTCTCCCCGGAAGCCATCTTTGCTGACTTCACATGGCTGCCTGAGAGTGCCTCTGGGTGCCATGAGTCCAGGCTGGGGCCCTGGGTGAGAGACAGTTTCTGAGAGGCTGTTCCAGTTCTGCTCGGCTTCCTGTGCAAGGATGGGGATGGACAAGCACTGGGCAGAGCTGACCAAGGAAAGGAGCAGTTCCTCTGGGGCCCACGTCCAGGGAGCAAGGCCCCCCGCCACACACACACACAAAGAGGAAGAGCAGCGTCCCACCTCACTACAGCCAAACCTAGGCCCCCAAAGAAGGAGCCTCAGGAAAGAGGGAATTTGGAAAGAGGAAGTGGGAGAGAGGAAGAGAAATCCTCCCATTCCTACAACCGACCCCATAAACCACTTCCTCAAGCCCCTTCCTGATCCTCCAGAAGATGAAGGATCCCTCCCAGAGGGATTTCATTTAAAAAACAAAAAATATTTATTAAAGAGCTTATCACAATCTTCCCTAGGCCACACCATGTTGTAAACATCATGAGGCCCCAGACTTTCTGCTTCCTGTTGCAGATCTTGAAATACGTGGCACCATAAAGCATAGTAACAAAAAGCACATTTGGGGGCTGGGGTCATGGCTCCCTGGTAGAGCGCTCTCCTGGTGTGTATGAGGCACTGAGTTCGATTCTCAGCACCACATATAAATAAATTAAATAAAGTCCTTTGACAAGTAAAAAAAAAAAAAAAAAAATATATATATATATATATATATATATATATATATATAGAAAAATAATTTAGTTTAAAATAAAAAAGCACATTTGGTGCTCCTGCCCCCCCAAAAAATATATATTGATTAAGTCCCAATGCAGCCAGGTAGAAATGCTCCACACACAGGGGCCAAATCCCATCCTGACCCCATGTTATAACCTTTGACTTGTAAGCAGGAGATGGGTCCTCCCATTCCCCCCTCTCTTGCTCTTTGTCAGCCCTTCTTTCTCCTTCTTGAATCAACACCACCCTTCTTCCTTTGGGAGAATTCGTGTGTAGGGAGACCTAATGTACAACTCAGGGGTCTTGGTGTGGTAAGCAGCCATTGATAGGGTGACGATGCCCCCAATATTTATCAGATTCAAAGAGCCCCTGTGGCAGGTAGCAGGAGTGATACCCCGGGATTCTTGAGTCGGTCATTCATTGCATTCAGGTGTGTTGATGCTCTATGCTCTGCAAGTGTGCTGACAGATGACACTGGAATGACTAAGTTCAAAGGGAGTATGGAGTTTGAAATAGGAGCAAATGGAAAACTCACTGCTGGTATGTCCGAAACCCTGTTAAAAATGGTATTTGTCACTTGAGTCCATGTGGCCACCATCAGCCTTTAAATTTGCCAATAGCATGAACGTCAAGTTTGTGAAAAATGACAAAGTCTGTATGGTCGGTGAGGACAAGTGATCAAAAAATTTATGGAAGGGACACATCATCTAAACAACTTTTTAGTGACTCTGTTTCACACAAACTGGTAGGATTCAAATTTGGAGGTGTTCTCAGCAAAAAGAAGGAAGTCCAATGGAGAAGTTATAACCTTGACTTTGCCCCCAAGAAAACCAAGAAGCCTGGATTTAAGAGGGTGAGGTTCCTAAGAACTCAGGACAAACAAAACAATATGCAGCTGAATGAAGTGGTGCACGCCTATAATCCCAGCATCTCAGGAGACGGAGGCAGGAGGATTATGAGTTGAAAGCCCAGTCTCAGCAAAAGCAAGGCACTAAGCAACTCAGTGAGACCCTGTCTCTAAAGAAAATACAAAATAGTGCTGGGGATGTGGCTCAGTGGTCAAGTGCCCCTGAGTTCAATTCTTGGTGCCCCCACCAAAAAAAAAAAAAAAAAAATGCAAGCACATGACCAAAATTGCATTGCATATGAGATGTGAAATGAGTGTCAGGAGGAAGGAAGATGAATGCAGTAAACAAGAACTTCTCAACCTGCCTAAAAGGAAGAGACAAAATGTTAGATATGGAAATGAAAAACCCCAAGATAGTGCAGCCTGGGAAAAGGGAGTGAAAAAGAAAGCCATACACTGATAGCTTTCATCTCTTTCAAGATAAATCCTTTTCAGAAGCTGGCCACAGGTGGGCCATTCAAACTTAGAATGATTCATAGAGACTTGCAAGATAATCCTCTCCAGGTGCTGACCACCAACCCCCAACCCCAAATCCCAAATTCCTGAGTACCCAAGCTGTCATGCTCACTAAATCACCTCTCAGTGTAACCTACATAACCCCAAAATTCTCCTTTGGCCAGTGGCTCATTTTCCACCAGGAAAGTAGGTCCCCTGAAAGTGTAATCCCATTCCTGAATAAAAGGCTGAAATGATCCATGAAGTTCACCTCTGGGCCCGGCTAAAACAAAGGATCCTACCCGCTGCCCCATGATTGACAGATGTTAACTGGGGAAAAATATAGCACTATTTCTTTTAATCCTGGATTTGGCCTCAGAAGCCTCCTGAGTAGTGCTTCTGGGTAGTCCATATTGACAGGTTAGGATTGTCATGGAAATCTGTTTTTGGCCAGATTCAGGTGAGGTTACTAAACAAGGAAGTCAAACTTCTAGGTTGAAGCAGATTTAAGTGGTAACTTCAGGTCTCATGGTATCTCCAAGGCTTCTCTTCTTCCCCTCTTTTCTCTGGGGTTGACCATGAGTTCCTGTCTCTGGCCTAAGCCAGTCTGCAGGTTCTGCCCTGATCACCGCTTGAAAAGCAATTCCGCCCTCACTGGCTTCAAAGTCATCTTCTTTCTCAAAATATGAGGCCCAGAGAGGACCTGCTTTTGTCTCTGATCTATTTCATAGGGCAGACAAAGGAGACAACCAATAAGTTAGTGGGAAGAGGTAGATGGGGGGGATGAGAATGCCAAGCCATGGAGGGTCATTTTTATCCCATAGGGAAGGAGGTGGGACTAATGTCCTGGCAGGGGAGTGGCAGAGTTCCAATCATCCTTGGAGAAGGTAATTCTACAACAGTCACCAGGAGATAAGTAGACCAGAAAAAGTTCTCAAAGCAAGGAAGTCATTAATAAAATTAATATGATCATCCAAACCCATAATAGTCAACCGGAACCAGGATAGTAGTAATGCAAACAAACATATTTTTTTTAAGAATTCACTAAAATTTCCTGGCTCTGTGGTCACTCTGCAAAATTATCTCTTGATTCTCTCCTACACTGTGATAGGCAACAGGAATATGAATTGGTCCAATCGTATGGGAAAACAGTGTGACATTATATAGAAAGGCCAATAACACACTCTCATTAGGCAACTCTACTCCTAGAACTGTAGCAGAGAGGACTATTCTGCATCCATACCAGGACACACATCCAGGAAGCTTCACAGTGGAATTATTGGCTAATAGTCCAAACTGGAAACAACTCAAATGTCCATGTGCATATATAGTAAAGTGCATGCATGATGATCTAGCTGTTCAAAGGAACAGGACGCAGCAAAAAAAAAAAAAAAAATGAATGAACTACAGCCACATAGATCACTGAGGTACCAACACAACCCAGACACCTACGAGGAAATGAAAGTCATAGGAAGAATTCATACTATAGAATCCTTTTCCTATAAAGCTCAAAAAACAGGCAAAACTAAACTGTACTTTTTAGGGCTAGCAACACAGATGGGAAAGAAGAGCAATGACTTTCCTAAAAGTTGAAGAAGTGATCATCTACGCAGGAAATGGATGATTTGATCAGGAAGGAAATGCGGAGACTCTTTGGGTCTGGTAACGTGTATTCGGTTGTCTTTCTTAATCTAGATGGCAGCTTGGCATGAATTTGCTATGTGATTATTTGCTATGTAATATGTAAATTATATATGTCCTTTCTCATATGTATGTTATGTATCATGATTAAAAAACTAAAAACCGAAATTCCAAATCAGTCTCAACAACAACCCTCCGTGGAAGGTACCGTTATGATCAATGACAACACTGTGGTCACACGACTCATAAATGGTAAAGCCATGACCTGTGACCCTGGAAACCTGGACCTTGCTGTCCTGGGTTGGAAACACTCCCCATCTAGGTTAGCAGTGGAAGTGGACAGGAAGTCTCCATAGAACTCGGCAACTAACTGGGCATTGGCATGAGGGAAGAAGAGGAAAGGAATGAGATGAAGCTGAATTACCTGGATGATACGGGGGACACCATTAGCAAAGGTAATAAACACAGGAACCAGGAGGTTTGAGAGGGTAGGTGTGTTTTCACACTTTAGCCAATGTATCTGTGGTCTAGCACACGGGTGGAAAGGCAGGCTGCCGCGTGGGAAGAGAGGACACAGGGGAAGACATTGGTTCCTGCACAGGGCTGACACCGAAGCCGTAGAGAAAGTGAGATGGTCAGGGGTGAGGGTGCAGAGAGAAAGTCAGCACTTAGGACAGGACCTCAGGAAGGACACCACAGAGAGAGATGGGTGCACAAGACTCACCCAAGGAAAGTAGTTGAAACTGGCTCCTTATGAAAGGCACAGGAGAAGAAGAAGAGAAGGCAGTGGAGACAGATAAGCTCAAGGATCCTCCCTCCTGGTGTAACCACAGCGGTTCCTCACAGATCCAGGGAGAGATGTGCAGCTGCTGTGTGCCCACGCAGAGCAGACACTGCTGGGGACAGAGGGATTCTGGCCTCCTGGTCACAGCACAAGGAGAGAATGCACACCCAGAGCTGCAGGACGCTGGGCACACACCCCTATTTCCCCACTATTCTAAGGAAGGCTGTGGACACACAAAACGTCAGGAGCTTGGCAGAAGCAGATGCACATCTGCTAGCTTCATACAGCAACCCGTGTTTTCTGTTAACTTCTAGAAAAACACTTCTGGCGGGGTTTTAGCTAGATGCATAAGTATGTAGGTTTAACTGATTACTAAGGAACACTGGCCATTCAAGCTCTCTGTTGTATATGAGTTAGCCACACACACACACACACAGAGAGAGAGAGAGAGAGAGATTATACTAAAAGAATCAAGAAAATAATGCCTTGGTAAACTACCCAGCATTTCACAAGGTATCTCATACACTTCTCTTGTAGGTTATCAACTTAGTTGATCTCAAGGCTCTGATATCACCCTCTATTATTACTCTCTATTCTCTGGCTTTAAGACCTCCAATGCATCCTTTAAAAGCTCTATACAGTTGTTGAGTGAAATTTTTGTACGCCCTTGGAGTGGGGAGCTCGCCTGCTCAAATATCAGAATCATACATAAGTTTACAAAGTTATGTGGTGAAAATATGCATAAGCATTTTATTTGCATATGAAATTATTTGTAACAATCTAAAAGCTGAAAATCACAACTAAATGGTCATACAAGTTGAACAATTAGGTTTTGTAAAGGAAAACTCAGTTTCCTGGAATTTTAATGCATACATTATCAATATATATGAATGTGGCATTTTCAAAGATGCTACTTTATCACAGCCTTACTCCATGCAGAGTAGGAGACGATATCAACTCTTCCCCAGGTGACACACCTGGGTTTTCTACCCAATTCCACCGTCCTGGGTCACCATTGCACACGTGACTTCCCCTTCTCTTTCAGATGCATTTGCTGCCCAGCACTTTGAACCTGTTGAGCAGTGGGTGACACACTGGACCTTACCTGGGAGCGTTAGCATAAAGTAGGCTGTGGACACTCCAGCATGACACATGAATGGAAGTCCGTAATCTTCCATTTTCACTTCTAAGAAGGTTATGTTTACCGTGTAGAAAATGTGTTCCAGAAAAGAAACATTGGTTCTATATTAAAAAAAAAAAAAAACAGTTGAGCATAACGCTTGGGTCAAATTAACCCAACATAATTCATAATGTTTTTTTTTTTTCTGGAGACAAAATTATGTATTTTCTCCCCTCCCCTGGAGAACACTTTCACCCTAAGAATTTTTTTTTTACCCTAAGAATACTTCACTGAGTGACTCCATGAGGTGTATAGATTATGTAGTTCCAAATTTGCATTTTCTTCTGGATAGTGGCAAGGAAGTATGGTTCTGCCAGCGAGAGCCTAAAAGCCTTGCTTCTCTAACTCAGCTCCACCTAAAGGCCCTGCACAAGTTCTATTGCCCTGAGGTCACGGGGCCCATTTTACACCACTCCAATCAGACTTCCATACATTGAGTTTATACTCAATTCACTGGGAACTAACTATGTCCTCTCTCCCCAAGACCCCCTGCCTTGGCTCTTGTTTTACTATTTAATCCTCAAAGGCCAGTGGTTCAGGATGTAACTGAATAGGAGTAGGCTGGTTTCAAGCAGCAGTTGAGAGAAATGGACATTCTTTTACTGAGGCATGCTTCAGGTTTCGCCACATGCCCCCCATTAGGCCGGGCTCACCTCTCTGAGCCAGCTGCTGGGCCACACAGCACACTGCAATCTTCAAAACACAAAGCCAAGAGGAGCGGTGGCTGAGCAGGTGGCGGGAGTGTCTATAAGCAGCAGCAGTGGCAGCAGATAGTAGGTGGAGACAGTCTTGCCAGGTTTTAGAGAAGCCAGAGGAACAAAACACCTACTCGATTCCCTCTCTGATGCGTTTGGATTCATTGTAGTAGGTGTCCACCAAAGTACTGTTGACCCTCCAGCATCGCAGGTTGGTGTTCTCCTTTGAGTCTGTTATGTTGCAGTCCACAATGAGAGTGGAGCCTAGAGCAACCAAATTCACAAATATTCAGTGAAAAGTTTACCAAGTTTCAGTGACTCAAATTGGTTAATTCCCAAATGCATCTTCTTTTGAGATCTGAGTATCTTGAGTGCCAGAATTTCCCCAGCCCCGGTCAGTCGGCTCTCTCTCCCGGACAGAGATCGGGAGGGATGAGCCGGCTTCTAGGGTGTCTGTTGTAAAGAGAGTTGCACATGCTGCCGAATGCCAACACTTCAGATGATGTCCTCTACAATATCAGAGACACAAATACCACTTGTACTCGAGCTGCAGCCGAGACCTCTACAGCTTACAAAGTATTGTATACGGATTTTCTCCCTCAGTCTTCATATCTTGTAAACAATCCAACAAGGCAGAAGAAAGGGGAAGAGTTATCCCCATGTTAGAGATGAGAAAATTGAAGTTTCAGACAGATTGACTGACTTGCCCAAGGTCATATGTGAAGTACAGGGAGAGATGAGACAAACACAGTTTTCTAGTTCCAAATCCAGTCATATTCCTACATCAACAAATGTGGCCCCACACCCATTGTCATCTCTCCCTTACCTGCTTCCACATACACACACACACCTTGTTTAATAAATCCATGTTTTCATTTTACTTTGTCCAGAAGTCTCATAAATCGTACATGGAGTTTGAAGGATAGTTCTTTATTCTAGGTGGCACTTTAAAAACGTCATGGATGGAGCTGGCAAATATCATGCTAAGCGAAAGAAGCCAATCCCCCAAACCAAAGGCCAAATGTTTTCTCTGATATGCAGATGCTAAGTCACCGTAAGGAGGGGGGACCAGTAGGGAAGAATAGAGGTACTTTGGATTAGGCAGAGGAGAGTGAAGGGAAGGGAGGAGGCAGGCTGGTAGGAAGGATCATAGAATGAATCAAACATTATTACCTTATGTGCATATATGACTATGTGGTGTGATTCACGTATAACCATAAGAATAAGAAGTTATACTCCATTTATGTATGATGTGTCAAAGTGCATTCTAATGTCATGTATAACTAATTAGAACAAATTGTTTAAAAAGTAAAAAAAAAAGAAAAGAAAACACAAGATAAGGCTGGAGTTATTTTCGGCTTTCAGAAATAGGACACATGGACGTCCTAGGAACAGGACATTCAATCCGGGAGAAGATACATTAAAAAGACTAAAACATTAAAAAATGTATTGTGTACTATATATAACACACAGTTAAAACCATGGAATCCAGTTAATGAATTATGACAAAGCAAATATCCACCCCACCCTCACTCCATCAGGAAGGTAGTATACTCCCAGAAGTCTCCCAGGCCCCTTCCCTACTTCATATTTCATCATTTGCATGTTCATCCCTGAGCACCAGTTTCTACTGCTCAGCATTTTGCTGGTGAGACTCATCCATGCTGCTGGAGAGGATGGAATACACTAATCCTCATTTATTCCTTCTACCACGGCTGCATACCGTTCATATTATTTCTGGTGTTTGTCTAGTATGCCTAGGGCTCCTAGGAACTCTTTCCTTTTCCCCAGTATTGGGAACTGAAACCAGGGGTGATCAAGCCCTGAGTACTTTATATTTTTATCCCCAGTACTTTATATTTTTATTTTGAGACAGTTTCCTAAGAACTTGCAATTCTCCCTCCTCCACCTAGTGAGTTGTTGGGATTATAGGCACGTCCCACGGTGCCCACCTAGGAACTCCCTTCTGCATGTCCCCTGGATATTCCACATACAATACTGGTAGATCATAGATCATACATCTCTTCAACTTCATACAATGGTACAGCTTAGCTTTCCACAGCAGGGCAGGGGCCTTCTTATACTTCACACGCTCAACAGTAGCTAGGGTGCCCAGTCTATTTTAGTTTTGCCATCTTGTCATGTGCATGATGGTACTGCACTATAAAAATTAACATTTTAGCTGGGCACGGTGGTGCAGACCTGTAATTCTAGCAGCTTGGGAGGTTGAGGTAGGATTATCTCAAGTTCAAAGCCAGCCTCAGCAATTTAGTGAGGCTCTAACCAACTCAGTGAGATCCTGTCTCTAAATAAAATATTAGAAAGGGCTGGGCATGTGGCTCAGTGGCTAAGTGAGTGCCCCTGGATTCAATCCCTAGTTTTAAAAAAATTAAATTAATATTTTTGCTTTATTATTCCTGCTAAAACTTCAATTACCAGTCTTATTTCTGTACATAGAAGGGATTTTTTTATTTCTTTCTTTCTTATTTTTAAGATTTTTTAATTTGTTTTTGGTTTTCCACAATTTCACTATGGTGTATCCAGGTGTAGTAGTTTTAATTTTATGGTCTTGCTTGGGATTTTTCGTTGGTATGGATGGCTGGAGAACAGCATCCAAGCTGAAGGGACAGCAAGCAGAACCTTTGAGGTGGAGCTGTGCTTGGGCTGTTGGAGCAGTGGGAGCAGGAGGGTCAGGATGAGGGGGAGGGCTCCTGAGCATAGGGCGGGAAGAGGCAAGCCACCAAATGCCACGCTGGGCACCGTGAGGACTTGGACCTTCTTGCAAGTGAGATGGGAAACCTCTGGAGAGTTTCAACATGTTTTAAAGAGATCGCTTGTCTTCATTGTCAGTAACGGGTGAGAATGCCCTTTATGTTACCCTTGCTAATAAATGGTGTCACATGGTTTTCAATCCTTGCCGATTTCATAGGTAAATATACTTTAATGTACACTTCTTTTATTGGAAATGAATATTTTTAATATTTTGTTGGTTTTTTTCCCTTGTGTGAATTATTTATGGCCTCACTCAGATTCTGCAGTTTTCTTGATCTGTTTTTTTAAAAAGTATATAAATGATATTACCTATTTTCTGTCATCTTTATTCCAAACATTCTCTCCTACTTTGCCCTTTACTTTTTAAAATTTTTTTTTTCATTTGTAGATGGGCACAATACCTTATTTTATTTATTTATTTATTTATTTTTTATTTTTTTTTTAAAGAGAGAGAGAGAGAGAGAGAGAGAATTGTTTTTTAATGTTTATTTTTTAGTTTTCGGCGGACACAACATCTTTGTTTGTATGTGGTGCTGAGGATCGAACCCGGGCTGCACACACGCCAGGCGAGCGGACTACCGCTTGAGCCACATCCCCAGCCCTTATTTATTTATTTATTTATTTATTTATTTATTTAATGTGGTGCCTCACACATGCTAGGCAAGCACTGAGTCACAACCACAGCCTCTGCCCTTTACTTTTTAACTTTACTATTTTCTATATATACAGGTATTTGTATTTTGTTTTGTTTTTCATATTTTTAACTTTCAAATATTGAACAAGGAGTTTATATATATTCAACGTACATAGTATGAAACACTTGATATACATATAGAATGTGTGTATGTATGCACATATATATACTATAATGTTTAATACGATCAAATTAAGAAATACATCCATCAGACTTCCAGAACTGGTTCATCCTTTTTTTTCTTTAAATATCACTCTTTATTTATTTTAAATTGGTCAATTTTATGTTATATGATTTTTAAAAATTTTTATTGGTGCATTATAATTATACATATTAATGCTATATTTCTATGTGCACATAACATTACTTGACCGATCTCATCCTCTAGTATCTTCCCTTTCCCTCTCCTCCTCCCTCCCCTTGATTTGCTTGCTCTATTCTCATGATCTCCATTATTTTTATTATTATTATTTTTAACTGGTGCATTATAATTATATGAATATAAAGGTGTATAGATGCCGCATATATTTTGTCACATTCATACAGGACATAGCATACTTTGGTAGATTTCATTCCCCAGTTCTTCTCCATCCCTCCCCTCCTCCCTGTCTCTCTATCCCCTTCCTCTACTCTCTGGGTCTCCCTTCTATTTTCATGAGATCCCCTTTATTTAATTTTATTTATTAATTCCTTCTTTTTTCTCGCTCTCTCTAGCTTTCACATATGGGAGAAAACATTTGAGATATTTGCATATTGTTCGATCTTTTAACTTGTGATTCCCCCCACACACACTGGTTTTATGCAGAGAAACTATGATATTCTGGTATTCGCTAATTTTATAATTCTTATGGTTGGATGGAAAATGGATCCAGAGAAAATAGAATCCATTTCAATTTAGTAATTACATGAAATAAATGTCAATGGATGTGGGGAAAATAACCCTAATCATGCAAATCACTTCAAGATGACATGCCAAACATATTCTTGAAGGGAAATGCTGGTGCTCTGGAGATGAGAGATGCTGGGATTACCCAACAGCTGTTTGCCCGTACATAATCACCTGTGGCAGTTGTGTCCCAAGAGAAAATAGGCTTTACAGGGCCTGTGGAAATAACCAACAAGGCCAGAGAAAGTATGTTAACATGAAGATAATATACTATTATTTCAGGCCTGTGAAATGATACTGGCTTTGAAAGTTTCTTTTGTGTTGGAATAACCCCTATAGAAGAATTGATAGTGTTTATAACATTTTAGATAATTAACATTTTTTTCTAAGTAGATATTCATTTAAAAACAATTATATATTTATCTTCCTCCTAAAAGACTCCTGCTTTTTAGCTAAGTATGTCAGAATTTCCAAAGACAGAAGTGGGAAATGAAGTCGGGCAACCTTGTCTTCTAGGTGTTTATGAGATCTCCAAGGGAATCCATGCAGTGAATACATATACCCAAGCATCCACTATAGTGGGCATCCATAGTTCCTTAAAATTCAAAAAGAACTTCTAAATAAAGGCCTAGGGCCTTTTCAACAGATTTCTGTTCATTGTTTCGTAAGCTTGGCATCCCCAAGTCTTCTATTCAGGTATCCTGGAATTGGGGAAAGGAGATTTCTGGAAATTTACCTCCCTTCCACCAGACACCCATCAACTCTTCCACCCCATTAGAATACTATATTAGAATACTATATGATGCATTCCCAAATCCAAACCAACTATGGGATTTACCATTCTACTTTTTTTTTCTTTTAGTATATTCATTATTTCCTATTTTTATCTTTTTTTCCTTAGTAGTTCTTTTTTTAGAGAGATAAATGGTTATTTATGTATTTTAATTATTTCTACACTTAATTATGATAATATTTAAAAATACAGACTTGTTTAGAGTACAGTAGTGGTCACATGCCAGGAAGTTCAATATGATATATTCTCACTGTCATTATTTTCTAAATATTCTTGAACTCCAGCTTTGGTTTAATCTCTACCCAAGAAAACAAATATTTAGGATATGAGTTTGTTGTTAATTTCTCTTTTATAAAAATTTTTAAAGGTTTTAAGTGATAAATAATAATTATATGTTATAATACAATATTATAATATGATTTTTGATATGTTAACAATGTGAAATAATCAAATCAAGCTAGTTAACAATTCCATCATCTCACATATTTAATGAGGGAGATTTTTTCATTGTTTTGATTTTAGTTATGACTTTCTAGGCTTACTGCATTTTTATTGTACCATGTGGTCTGTGCAGTTTCCTCTTTGGGGACCCTGCATTTTTCACAGATATTTATGAGAGTGATCTGTTAAATACTTTTGCATGTGATTTTGCTGAAATGTTTTAGATTCTTATTTGCCTAATAAATCTGAGTATATTAAAATCTCCCACTACCATTGAAACAATAATATTGTCTTAATTGTATTGTCCTTAGATTTCTGAGACTTTTAGCTTTATGTATTTTGATGTACTGCTATTTAATACATAAAAGTTTGAATTGTAGGACATATTGTAATTTTGATTAATATAAAGTGATTCAATTTGTCATGGGGGGGAGGAATTCTTGAAAGATTATTATCAGACTGAAGTCAAGCAACTTGATCATTCATGTTAACGTCTGCAAGTATCTTGCTTATGCAATTATTTTTCATCTTTTAGGTCATGCATTTTTTCCATATGCATCTTTTGAAAAGAGAAATTATTAAATTTACAAAATTCTAATTAATTTTTAATATTTTATTCAATCTGAACACCTATGTTTTAATGGAAACTTTAATTTGCTTTTTCTTTTTGAGAAAGTACTTAAGGTTTTTTTTTTTTTTTTTAATTTTACTAGTGACTTCCTTTATGTTTCAAGGAATAACTTGAACCACCTTTTCTCTACGTAGAGAGGCAATTTTTTTGTTCCTATCCTATAAAAATGAAGGAATATAATATGATCACTTCCACCTTAATGTTCTCCCAGTAATAGATAATATAACCCAGAATTCCCAATCAACATTATTTAGTTATAGTTTTATATTATGTGTTGTCTTTTTCAAGAGTTATCTTTACATTTTCATCACCTCTATACAAACAGACTTACAGTAATCATCTAGAACTACCGTGATCCCCCCTCCCCCTAAGAACTCCAATATTGTAACCTCTCCAAGCCCCAGCTCTGTTTGTTTTTATTTTGATGCCTCTCCTGATCAGCAGGTATATCCAAAGCCGTAAACTGGATGTGTATGGGATTTGTCTTCACAATCGAAATTCAGAATATTCACTAGACAAAACATGTGGACATAGTGAGTTGAGCCCTCGGTGATGTCAATGGCTTCCATAATTTTACTCACCAAGTTGTACTTCAATGGAATTGTTTTTTGGATAAATTATTTTAGGAATTCTTCTTTCATTTCCAACTCTTCCTGCTGAGAAATCAAATCCACAGTAAATGGCATTAGAATACTATATGATACATCCCCAAATACCATAATATAATAACAAGAAGCACATCAGAGAACAGATCAATAAACACTGGTCAAGAAAAGACAAAACCTATGGTGTGAGAAATTATTCATAAATTTATATATTTTTTTCAACTGGGAATAACTAAATTGCTGATGAGGGAAAAACTAGAACTTGAGTTATCAAAGGAATTTCCCTCATTGTATATTTGGTATAAATGTAAACTAATGAGATGGTATAATAAAAACCTCATTACTTATTAATCCAAACACACTTTTCAAGTTCTGGCTAGTTAGAAATGATGTCCCCAACTTATCAGTATCTTCAGTTCCATTCTTCTTTCTTTCTATCATTTTGGTGTTCTTTTAAATCCTTTTCTGTCATTTTCTAGCTCTTTCATCTATACCACTCCCACTTTATGCTTGTCTCTCCAGATTGATCCTCTGGATCCCGTGCTCCTTGGATTTTCCCACTCCTTCCCTTCCCAATTTGCCCACTAAAAGTTAACAATCCCCTGCTTAGTCCCTCATTCCTTCTATATATTTGGGGTAGGTTGTGGAAATGTAATGAAGGAAGCTAGGGGAGAATGCAGCAAAACATGCCCTGCACGATGGCCATGATAATTGTGCATTCTACAAACTATTCCAACTCAGTATCCCCAAATAGCAGCTATCACCAACTAGTCCCCATACCCCCACTCACTGGATCACACACATCTCAAATCTGGAAGTCATTCTAGGAAACAGCTTTTCTTTCATCCTCCTCAATTTCATCACCAGTGCAACAAATTTTACCTCCAAACATTTCATAGTCTGTGCCTCTGTCTCCACTTCTAAGTCATCTTATTCTCTACTCGTTTTCCTGGACAATCTCATCCACACTTGCGATCTTCAATTACCACTTCAGGCTTTGAAAGTCATATCTCCAGACCTTCCTTTAAGCTCCAGACCCACAAAGGACATGGCCTTCTCTACATCTCCTTTTGGATTTCTCAAAGGTACCTCACACTCAGCCTATTAATGACCAAACTCATGATCTGACTCTTAGATCTGTTTTGTTCAGCCTCATGACTCTGCGCTTGTACCCACCCAAAAGTTGTTTAATGGCAACATGGTAAAGCTTCTGTATAAATGGCCAACTTGAGCCTGCCCCTGTTTAATTCCATGTCCTCGGTTCCCTCCACTCCTCATCTCAGACATACTTATGTTCAAATGAACTTCATTACAGATGCAACATAAACCATGACATTTCACACTTCCACACTTTGCCTTATGCTATTCTGCCTAAAGACCACTTCTTATTTTTCTTTACATTTATAAAATCTATTCATCCTTCAAAATTCTGCTGAAAGAAAACTTGAAATGGAACCACCATGTGACCTAGTAATTCCACCTGAGCATATACCCAAAGAACTTCAAATCAGCAAACTATAGTGATAGCCATATCAATGCTCATAACAGCTCAATTCCCAATACCTAAGGTATGGAACCAACCTAGATGCCCTTCAACGGATGAATGGATAAAGAAAATGTGGTACATATGCACAATGGAATATTACTCTGCCATAAATAAAAAATGAAATTGAATCATTTGCCAGTACAAGGATGGAACTGGAGGCTATCATGCTAAATGAAATAAGCCAATCCCCCCAAAACCAAAGGCCAAATGTTTTCTCTCTGAAATGTGTATAATGACTCAAAAGAGGTGGGGGCAGGGTAGGGGGGGGAATGAATGAGGTTCACCAGATTGGACAGGGAAAAATGGGGGGAAGTGAGAGGAGATGGGTTTAGGAAAGACAGTAGAAGGAATTGGACATAACTTGCCTGCATTCATATATATGAATACATGACCTAAGTATAACTCCACATCATGTACAACCACAAGAATGGGAACTTATACTCCATGTATGTATGAGGTGTTAAAATACATTCTACTGTCATGTGTAAGTAAAAAGAACAAATAAAAAAAACTGGAAAAAAATTCGACTGAAAGCTAATTTCTCTTAAGAGCCTCCCTAGACCATTTTCTTGCCACCTTGTAGCTCCTTCTGTTCTTTTTGTGTCCCTTGACACCATCAATAAGGTGAACCTTAGCATATAATGTTAAAAATAATTCATTTATATCTTCAAATTCACTACCACCAGGCTGGAGTTTCTCAACAGAAGGAATGATGTTCTTAAAGTTTTAAATTGTCAGGGTGTAATGAAATTCTGGGCATATGACAGATCATACATGTTGATTGAACTGGCAGGAACTATAGACTCTTGGACCCCGTGACCTCTTGAGGTATTCTTTTTTTTTTTTCCTTTATAAATTTCAACCTTCTGAAAAAGTTTCCCATTTACTCATGCAAAACTGAAGCATTTTGGTATTCGGCTAGTCATTTGGTTAATAAACGGACCTATGCTTTGACAAGGCCAGACACTGAGCTTGGTGCTGGGATTCAGCTGGGAACAAGATAAGGACAGAGAAATTCCCAGCAACAGGAAACCCAAGAGCACAAAAATCATGAAATCTAGCTCCGTTTTTGCTTTCTTAATTAAGTGGCCCTCGGTGAAGGAAGTCAAAATGGAAGCCACCCCCAAACATCGAATCACATGCATGATTTCAGCAAAGAGTACCGGGGGACACAGGAGGAAGAACCGGCTGGAATGCAGGGCATCACTGGACTCCAGGAACAAAGGGACCATCCTGGATTGACGTGGAGCCCTCCAGAGGGGCGGCAGGGAGTCACTGCTGCTGAAAGGACCCTCTAGGGAATAACACCATCAAGAACTGGCTACATACCCCCAGAACTAGAAATTAGTGACCAACATGAAGGTCCAAGTCAAAGAAATATCCAGCCTTTCATTCTTTCCCTCTAGACGAGTAAATACAGAAAGTGACTCTCTACTGAAGAATGAGCAGAAAGTGACAAGAAGAAATCTTTGCCCGGTGTGTGTAGAAGGAAACGTGTCTGCTTGGGCAATGAAGGCCAGGGCTTTAGTCCTATTTCTGACGTGAGTCAGCTTTGTGAATTTGATGAGTTGCTTCTGTCCTGAGCCCCCATAAGATTCATGGTTTGAGCCAAATTATTTTGAGGATTTCTTTTAAGATTCTACTTTTCAAATCCCCAGGGCATATGTTCCACGAAACTGGCTGTTCTGGGTCAAGAAATGAAATCTTATGAACAACAGGTTATTCTAGAACTATGGCCAGAAACACTGAACCTTACAGAGCCCAAGACAGAGAAGGCCAATGCTGGAGTGGCCCACAAATCGCTCACAATAGTGAAGGCTGAGGGAAATATGGGTCAAATTAATAATACCCAAGAAGCACTGAATACCTACACTTTGTCAGGCACCAGAACAGCTACTCTATATACCTGATCTCATTTCATTTTCCCAAATCAACCAAAAGTTTTGAATATTCTTGTTTGCTTTTATTTTTGTTTTTTACAGATGGGGAGAACTAAGTTGCTCGTGCCCTTTTGCCTCACTCTTTCTACCCTCTGATCTATCAGTGACATATTTCAAAGCCTATTAATCTTCAAGAAAATAAAAATCCAGATCACTTCTGCCCAAAGCCTGAAGCCAACCGGCTCAGCTTTGTGTGAGGGAGACCAGGCAACAGGTGTAAGCGTACTTACCGATGCTCACGTTGATGCTGTTCAGAACCCTGTATGCTCTCCTGGCATGTGTCAGCTCGGCTGCACACGCATAGCTCCCGCTGTCCTCTGCAGAGACATCATACACAACAAGCTTCATTTCCACAGGAACAAACCGTGTCTCTGTGATCTCTTTACAATCCTAAATAAAATAAATAAATAAATTCCAGTTAGCATTTGGGGGTACCAGTTACACTCCTAATTAGCCCCATCCTCAGAACTGTAGGAAGATAAGAAATCTATGTGAACCCTAAACCTTAGATCATTTACAATCTAATTAAAAGACCAACAGATGATAGATGATTGATAGATAGATAGAAAGAATAGATGGAGATGACAAGTAGATGAATGGATGGATGGATGAATGGATGGATGGATAGAGAGAAAAGAATAAATGATAGACAGATGGATAGATAGAGCAGGAATTCCTTTGTGGAATTCATTTGTGGATGCATGTTGTGTGTGTGACATAATCCGTAATCTGTATATTTGTATCTGTCCATCTCCATCTATCTCCAGAAGATTTGACAAAGTATTTCCTAGGCTAAAATGAGTGACACAAACAGTAAGTCCAATAAGAGTTGAGAGGGAAAGGACTTGTGTAGGTTAGAGAGAAGACTTCATGGAGGAAGACTGGGACTAGGTCATAAAGGATTTTAGCAGAAGAACAGGAACAGGTAGGAATGTCCTCCATTGCAAGGCCCATTTCTCCAAGTGGAAACTCATCTAATAGTAGGAAGCCCTTGTGCTTTGTAAAGCCCAGGGGGATTGTAAGACTGTAAGTCTAGGTGAATAGTGACTGTTTCTACCATGTTGCAGGCTCAATTATACCTTCTCTACTATTGGGGTTTTATTTTACAAAATCCAAAATAACTCTTCACAAAAAATCATGTTTGGAGGTGTAAACAGTGGTAAAAGAACACTTTCCAATTCACAGAGAACAGCTATCACATGACTTCTCATGTCAGCCAGGCCGCCACCAAACTCCACCAACCTGAAGCCAATTAGTCTCAGGAATGCCTTTCCCTCTAAGTCACCCTTAGCAACCACCCAGAGGGCAAGCCTCACCATTCACTTGTCCTATCAGAAGCTCGTATTCTCATGCTCGTCACCACACCTTTCTCTCATTGGGCCAATTCTGCAGTCTTTCTCAAACCTGTTCCCCTTCAGGAAAGCTCCACTCCAGAATGACTGATTGGCTAATTGAGTCCAATTATTCAGTCAAACATTTGAGTTCCTGCTCTTTATCAGCACTGTGTGAGGCCTTGATCACTCAGGAATAAGGTGTAGTCTCTGTCCTCAAGGAGCTCACAGTCTAATAGATGAAGAAGACATATAAACATCTATTTTAATAAAAATTTATTCAAAATGTTTTAACTGTGGGAGCTCTCTCTTCATTTAGTCAGCCACAGTTCAGAGTCATGCCTCATTCCCTATCCAAGAACAATGTGAATAATTCCACCTTGCATGGTGAAACCCATTACATAATGCCAGAGTGGATATTTGTTGATTTGCGATATCCATTATGACTTCCCAGAAGTATTATATTATTTCCCCATAAGTACCCTACCTGGGAAACCAAATTATCACGTAGACAACTGCTCATCACATAGAAAGGGAATTAGTATTAAGAGTCAGATGGAAGGCATCAGACCCTGATGATATGTTGTCTCATTCTTCAGGACACAAATAAACACTAATTTTGAGTCCTCAGACTTCAGAAATCTCTTCCCTGGGTAGTCTTCATTTGATAGTCCCTGGCTAGGCATAATCTCTGGCTGTCTCTTCCTATATGCTTCCATTGTTGAACAGTCTTCCTGCTGATTGACTTGTTCGTCCTTTCAAAATATGCAAATATTTGATAATATTAATTATTGGCCTTACTAATTGAGGGTAAGTCTTTCCCTTTAGAGTGAAGTGGAATGCCCTGTCTGATCCAATGGAAAATTATTTCAGAGTGTAAATTCTCTGCAAGGTTTCATCTTTATTTTAAATTTTGAGAGTGATGTTTCACTATCAAGATTTATGATTAAAATATGAATAAAAAGAGAGCCAATATTTGAATGTCTTATATATTCCAGGTATCAAGATGAACACCCCTAACCTGGCATGTACAATGTTTCAGAGACACAAAATAGCCCAGAGCATTCTGGCTAAGATACAATGGCTATAAAAGACTGATGGAGATGAAACTAGGGAGGATGGAGGAGCCCAATTAGTTAGTGGCTGAAACAAAGACATAACTAGGGTCACTGAGTCTAGCAGGTGAGGCAGTTTCAGAATGAGCCTTTCCTCTTATACTGCATGCCTCCTATGCCCTCCTACCTCTTAAGCCCATAGGTATTTTTTTTAATGAAGAATCTGAACCCACCATAGATGCTCTCATAGAGTGGAGAATAAGGGCAAGCATCTGATTTTTTAAAGGTCCATAGATAAAATTGGATGCCTACTTGAGACTGTTAATCACAGCTCTGACTCCATCTCCAAGTTCTATGGAAATTTAGATTAGATGATAATAAATGATTCAAACATTCCTACATTGCTAATGACTATCAAAGACTAATCACACTGGAAAGGAAAAGAATAGATTTTGTCCTCAAGATAATATTCTTGTGCAGTAGCAAGCCTTCTGAAATAACATAGAATAAACTTTGCCTTTCAAGTGCGGAAACTGAGACTCAGCATACCAGGGACTTAACACCACCAAGTTAGTGACAGAGGTGACTCTTACATATCTACTGTCTACCAATATCAAGTGCTTTCACATTTATAGGTCACAAGTCAGGAGAAAAGAATTGCCAGGAAAGTCCTTTTGTCACGACTATAAATCATACTTCCGGGGCCAGGATGTGATGGTTTCAAGGTTGCAGGTGTATGACCAGGAAGCCTGAGGTGCAGTCTAAAGCGCCGCACAGAGGAATGTGTGAACAATATCCTGAGAAGTCCACAGCTGGCTTTGAAAAATAGGTGATACTGAAATCAAATCCAACTGAGGCTGAGGACACTGTGGCTGGCCGTCAGTGCCTTCTGAGGGAACAGAACTGTTTTAAATGCTAAGGAAAATATGATAGAGCACGCAAAGTTCATATCACCCATCCTAACACAGAACAGATATATCAAAACATATAGAATGCATCTAAAACTTGGTTCAAAGTGAAATTACAACTTCAAATGTGTATATTAGAAAATGAGAAAGGCTTATGATAGAAGAATGATAGGAGACTCTATCTCAGAAAGTTAATAAAAAATTTAAATTAAAAGCAAATATCAGAGGGGGAAAACTAGATGAGAACAGAAATTAATAAATCAGAGAACAAACTAATGAGAGAATTAACAAAATCTAAAAATTGCACTATAAAAACACTAATAAAAATTGATAAATTCCTGCCAAGAGTAATCAACAAAAAAGTAGGAAAAATGGAAATATACAATATTAGGCATGAAAAAGAAAATAAGACAAATCCTACAAACCTTATATGGACATTAAGAGCATATTTTAGCAATATTATCTTAATAATTTTAAAATTAATATGAAGCACAAATATCTGCACAAGCACGTCATACTAAATCTGTTATAAGAAAAAGTAAATATGAACAGTTGTTTAACTCATAAAGACATTAAATATGTAGCTGAAAAAACTTTCTTTCCATCAAAGAAAGTTCCAATTCCAACTAGCTTCACTGCTAAACTCTAAAAGCACATTCTAAAGAAATGAAACCAATCTTACCAGCACCAAAACAGACTGGTAGACCAATGGTACAGAATAGAAGACACAGAGACAAACCCACAAAATTACAATTATCTTATATTAAACAAAGATGCCAAAAATATGCATTGGAGAAAAGATAGCCTCTTCAACAAATGGTGCTGGGAAAACTGAAAATCCATATGCAACAAAATGAAATTAAATCCCTATCTCTCACCATGCACAAAACTCAACTCAAAATGGACTAAGGGCAACCAGAGACCCTGCATCTAATAGAAGAAAAAGTAGGCCCTAATCTCCATCATGTGGGATTAGGCCCCAACTTCCTTAATAAGACTCCTGTGGCACAAGAATTAAAATCAAGAATCAATAAATGGGATGGACTCAAACTAAAAAGCTTCTTCTCACCAAAAGAAACAATCTGTGAAGTGAATAGAGAGCCTACATCTTGGGAGCAAATCTTTACCCCTCACACATCAGATAGAGCACTAATCACTAGGGTATATAGAGAACTCAAAAAAACTAGACACCAAAAAATCAAATAACCCAATAAATAAATGGGCCAAGGACCGAACAGACACTTATCAGAAGATGATATACAATCAGTCAATAAATACATAAAAAAAAATCATCATCACTAGCAGTTAGAGAAATGCAAATCAAAACCACTCTAAGATTTCATCTCACTCCAGTCAGAATGGCACCTATTATGAAGACAAACAACAATAAATGTTGGCAAGGATGTGGGGGAAAAGGCACACTAGTATACTTCTGGTGAGATTGAAAATTGGTGCAGCCAATAAGGAAAGCAGTATGGAGATTCCTTGGAAAATTGGGATGGAACCACCATTTGATCCAGCTGTCCCTCTCCTTGGTCTATACCTAAAGGACTTAAAAACAGCATATTACAGGGACATAGCCACATCTATGTTTATAGCAGCACAGTTCACAATAAACTGTGGAGCCAACCTAGATGTCCTTCAGTAGATGAATGGATAAAAAAAAAAAAAAAGAACGTGGCATATATGCACAATGGAATATTACTCAGCAATAAAAGAGAGTAAAATCATGGCATTTGCAGGTAAATGGATAGAGTTAGAGAAGATAATGCTAAATGAAGTTAGCCAATCCCAAATAACCAAATGCCGAATGTTTTCTCTGATATAAGGAAGCTGATTCATAAGTGGGATAGGGAGAGGGAGCATGGGAGGAATGGATGAACTCTAGATAGGGCAGAGGGATGGGAGGGGAAGAGGGGGGCATGGGGTTAGAAATGATAGTGGAATGTGATGGTCATTATTATCCAAAGTACATATATGAAGACATGAATTGGTGTGAATATACTTTGTATACAACCAGAGATATGAAAAATTGCTCTCTATATGTGTAATAAGAATTGTAATGCATTCCTGTGTCATATATAAATAAAAAATAATTCAAAAATTTAAAAAAGAAATGAAACCCATCTTAAGAATTTCTATTAAAAAAAAAACCATATGCCTCAATTCTACTTATTTTATAATACCAGAAAATCCTTCATATCAAAATCTGACAAGGACTTAACAAGAAACCAAAGTTATGGACCAGTATCACTTACAATATAGATGCAAAAATCCTGAACAAAATATTAGCAAACCAAACCTGGAAATGTATAAAAAGAATTACACACCATTCTGAGTTATATACATGAAGGCAAAATTGGTACAACATTCAAAAACCAGCCTTGTTATTCAACACATTAGCAGAATAAAAAGAAAAATCATAAAAAAAGTAAAAAGGTGTTTTATAAAATTTGGCCCCAATAACTAATAAAACATCCAAGTAAGCTAGGGAAATTTCCCTAATCTCATAAAAGACATTTGGTAGTATCTTAAATATCAGTTAATGGGGAAATTTTCCTCCAGTATAAAGATATAAAAATGCTATAGTTGCCATTTTTGGAGAGCTAACAAAATAAATGTCAAATGTCTATAATCTACTAGAATAAAGTAATAACCCTGGAATGTAATAACTTCCAAAGTGTTCAGAGATCCTGGCTAATAGAATAAAGGAAAAGACATAGAAGTTGCAATGATCAAAAGGAATGAATGAATGAAGAATGGAAGGGTGGGAGGGAATGAAAAGTGAACTGTCATTAATCTGAAAACATGACTGAATGTGTAGGAAATCCAAAAGACTCTGCAGATCAATTATTAGTATAAATGAATGAATTTACCAAGTTTGCTAGATAGAAGGACAATGCACAAAAATAAATTGTGTTTCTACATTTCAGCAATGAACAGATGATAATAACACAAAATCCATATTTAAAAACATCAAGCTGCCAGAAATAAAGCTAACAAAATAAATGTCAGACGTCTACATAGAAAATTACAAAACCATTCTATGAAAAATTACATTAAGGAAAATCAAAAGGAGGGATATGCCATGTTTATCATTTAGAAGACTCAAAATTGTAAAGATATCAACCTATGCTAAATTTACTTACACTTCAATCACAATGAAACTCAAATATTGTTTTTTGTGAAATTCCAAACACTCATTCAAAAATTTTAATAAAAATTTGAAGAACTACAAAAGAGAAGACAACCCAAAAGGAGAAGGACACAACATGAGAAAGGAAATTTTACCACATGTCAAATCTGAACTATAAATTCAGTGAAATTACAATCAAGATTCCAAAACTTTTTTTGTGAAAGTTAGCAAGTAGTTTATAAAATTGTGTATAAGTGCAATAATGGCCAAAGCGATATTTAGGGAAAAAGAAAAGTTTAGAAGACTTAAAACTCATAAGACTTGCCCAATGTCACAACAACTAACAAGAATAAACAGAACAATGCTCTACAGGACACTGCAGAGAGTTCCCAACCGTACCCACATGCAAATAGCAATCAGATGTAAGTTAGCAATGGTGTGCCAAGCAAGGTAGAAAGAGCAGGTGAACTATAAATCCACGTGGAAAAATTAAATTTGACCCTTAAAAATTAATGGAAAAGAAAAAACCAGCTAGAGGAACATGCAACAACATGGTTGATTCTCACAGGTTTACTATAAATTTACAGAAACTGTACACAAAATACTATGCATAATGTGATTCAGATTAAATAAAGTTCAAACACTGGCAAATACAATCTATAAAGCTGTTAAGTCAGAGGAAAATCGATCTTTGGAAACAGGGAGGCACAGTATTCGCAGGCTAGCATGCCAAACACCGGTACCCAAGATACAGAAATATCTCAAATATCCTATAAGTCACCAAGAAGCAGGAATTCAGAAATGGTAATCAAACATGAAAAAAGTCGTCAGTCTCACTAATAACTAAGAAAAAGCAAACCAAAACAACAATAAGAAGATATTTTATACTCACTTATTTTGTAGAAAATTAAAGTTTATAATACAAAGTCCTACATGAGGTTGTAGGGAATCCTGGTGAGTATATAAACTGATGTAAAACTTTGTAGAGTAATTTGACATCAATAAAGTAGAACATTTCACTCATATGTCTCTCTGGAGCTGGTGATCATGTACCCCGAAAAACTCATGCTGTCAAATGTCCACTAGAAGACCGATATGAAGATATTCATATCCACATTTCTCAATAAAGAGGAAAATAGAAACAACCTAAATAAACATTCGAAATTTAATAAAGACTATCAACAAAAGCAAAAGGTAGCTTTTTGAAAAGCCTGAACTCACAAGTTTCTTGTGAAATGCAATACTTATGTTTGTGTGTGTGTGTGTGTGTGTGTGTGTGTGTGTGTATGAGAAAGAGAGAGAGAGGAGAGAAACAAGAACTAAAGTTGAACTCAGTGCAGAAGCAGACATGGAAAGAGATGAAAAACAATGTTCCAATATGTATAAAATCATGAACAAAATGAGCATTTTCTTAGGAAAAAAAAGATCTTCCTGAAACTGACTCAATCTTACCACTAAAAAAAAAAAAGAATCACGAGACGAAAACCCTCCCATAAAGGAAACTCCGTCCCGTACTGGTAAGTACAACCAAGAAGTTAGGAAAAAGTAATTGCAAACTAAAATAACCAGCCTGTGCTCCTCCAAGCCAAGGATTGCCTTCCAAGTGGGCAGGTGCCAGTGCAGTCATGAAAAGAGGTAAAAACATGAGCTGCCGAAAGATGAGCACAGGAGGCTCTGTCTGCATAAACATGGAAGCACGAGACTATGCCCAGGTGTGTGTCTGGGTGGCCTTACGTGAAGGTGCCAGAGGAGGAGTGGGAAAAGGCATTCCCTGGGGGTCTCTGTATAATCTGTAATCTTTGACCCACTTTCATACAGCAACCATTTGAACAAATTAGTGTCAGGGGGAAAAATGATACCCTGAAAAATATGGATAATTGCAGGGATATGGATGATACAAATAATAAGACATTACAAAGTCATAACCAGAAAGTATAAATACTACCTAATTAGCAAAGTAATAATATCCATAGCTAAGACTAACAGACCTATCTTAGGCACATGAATCTCTTTTCCCAATCTGCCTTAAAAGAACCAACTTCATCTAGAAAAATCAAATGGATTTTTTTTAAAAGGAGGAAAAAATATCATTAGGATTTTTTTTTTTTACCTTATACCACATTATTGGACCCAAAACACAAGTCTCTGGAAAGTACAGATGACAGGTCAGACTGTCACTGGGTCCGATACGTAATATTTGTTGGTAGTCATCTGATAAGTTGGGTAGACTCCTTCTGGAATTATCACACCAATGTTTTTCAAAAACAGTTAGGTTCATCCATATTCTGACACAGTTGTTGGCATTCCTGTAAGAAAACAGCAGGCTGAAACCCACAGTCTTAAGCAACCACAAAATCAAATGATTCAGGTCATCTTCTCATTTTTCATATCATTTTCAAGTCACCATACCAATCCTTTCTTAAAAGAAACAGTTTGCAGCCTACAAAACATTGATGACCCAACAACAGATGACATGTATACAGTAGAGAAACTGGACAACATCTTAAGGAAGAGATCAAATTGAACTCAGCCTCGGAGGGGCAAAATGGACACCATGCATTTCTCTGCAGAGAACACAGAGCACTTACCCAGGATCCCAGCCAAAGAAACCCGCCCAAACCTAAACCCAAAGGAAGCGAGATATAATAAACTAATTCCCTGTGCTCCTTAAAAATATCAGAGTCATGAAAAATAGAGGAACTCCTTCAGATTAAGAGATGAAAGGTTTATGCAATCAAATGCATTACATAATCTTGGACTGAATTCATTTCTGGAAAGAAAAGAAAAAGTTGCACAGTTCACTGATAGGACCCCTGATAAGATTAGACTAGAAACAACAAGTTAAAGTATGTATGGTTACATTTTCTGAATTTGGTAACTACGCTATGATTATGTGAGGGGATATCCTTGTGGTTAAGAAATATACATTTAAATATTGTGCAGCAAAAGGGGTATGCTATGTACAACTGAAATGGTTTAGAAAAAATATTGTGTGTAATATACACATACACAGATATTATGTGGAGACAGAAAATTATAAGGAAAATATTCTTATACAAATAGAACTCTTGAGGAAGGGTAGATAGGATTTCTCTATATTATTTTGCAGTTTTATGTAACTTTGAAATCATTTCAAGGTAAAAAGTAAAAATATATCCATATTATATATGGATATTACTGATCTGGGAAAATTCATGTTTATTCTTTTCCACGACAAATAATATCTTTGTTTAATTTCTGTAAAAGATGATTTTTCTTCATTTCATGACTTCCAGATTTAAATGTTTTAAATCTGGCTCCAATATCCCTAGTAATTTATGTGGCACATAATCTCCAACTGCAGTTATAAGTCACAGCCTAGACTATAGCAGGAGAGCAGAGTTCCTTGAGACCTCAGCAGCAGACCCCTAGTGGCCAGCGCTGGGGAAAGGAGCCAGGCGGTGACTGACCACTTCCACTGTACACCACTCAGTCAGCCGTTCTGTACCCTGAGTCTGTCTGTCTGATCCAAGTTTCAGAAAGATCAAATAATGTATTACTATCATACAAGTTAGTTAGAGTGAATCACAGAATTATGACCCTTTGATCAAATGTGGTCCACAAATGGATTTCCTTCACATCTCACAGAGCTTTACAAATTGAAAAGTCACACACACACACACACACACACACACTCAAATCTCAAATAGACAGCTACCTTTGGTAGCATATGCCCTTTCTAGCTGACCACAGGCCCTTCTAGGCTCAGTGGTCTCCTTCCGCCTTTATTTCAAATGTCCAAAAATAGGAAACAATTCAAAAGTCCCACCAGACCTGTGTCCCTTATCAATTTATTTCCTAGCACAGCACCTTGTGTGGGTTTGGAAAATACTTAATGCTTACTGACTTTTAAATCCTCACCTTAAACAGATCCTTTATGAAGAGAGCTCGAAAGAGGTTTATCCTTATCTGGGTGTGCCGCTTGTCACAAAAAATTTTGGCATTCCAAGAAAGATGGCAACAATAATATTATACTAATATTATACTAATAAACACACTTTGTAAGTTGGTCTGGCCTGAGGCTTCACTTCAATAGGAAAAAAGCATTTCATGTTCTAATAATGGTTTACAAATCTATCGTATTTTAAAATGTGTTCACTGGAAATCATTGTATAACAACCATAAAACTATACAATATTATTTGTTTGATTGCATTTTCTATGTTTATTAAAAATTTATTAAAAGATATACATGCACACATAAAGAGAAAGATTCATATGAATTAGTTCCACTTTAAATGAGGAACTTACTTTATAACACATAGGTAGATGCCCGAGTCCTCCAGTTTCAGGGGAAGAATCAAAATCCAGGTGTGTTCCTGGTGAATTCTAGACTGATTGTCTTTGGAAATGGGGGCTTTGCTAGCAGCACGGTGGTACCACACTACATTTACTTCCCCATATGTGAGCGGAGGGTTTGTACAATTGAAGGCAAAGGGCTGGTCTGCTGATGCTGCCTCATGATGCATATCCGTGTCCTTGCAAGTATCTAGGAAAAGAAAGGAAAAAGCAAGAATAATTAGCCATGGGGGAGGGGGACACAAGAGTCGTGCTGATTATTAGTGTTAATGAACACCTCTTCAGTTTTCTAGTCAACTTGAAATTTTATCTGTTTTCTAAAAAAAAAAAAAAAAAAACATCAATAGCCTACTGATTCGAAAACATAATTCCAAGTTCATCAAACCTATCCATCCTGGGTTCCTTCTTCACAAAGGCCTCTCCTATTTGGAATGATTTCCTTCTTTCCCTTCTTAGACTTAATTTTCTGTCCTCCTCCTCATTGTAAGGGAACCCACTTGGTCCTGTTTTCTTTTTACTCTGCCACCTAATTACTACATCTTCAGTAAAAGGTATCCCACCCCAAAAATGGGTTGTTTTTTTTTTTTTACCAAGCTACTTAGATTTTTCTTAGAAATTTGCTCTGTTGAAGTTTTCTTTGTTTTTAATCCTGGATCATAAAATAGCCCTTTGTCCTGTAAGTAGACAGTACTACCTCCATTTAAGCACTTTCACCCAAATCTTGACTTGCATATTGATCTCACTTCTTCCCATCCCAAGAATAACCTGGAAGCTCCGACGTGACATTGGGGGGCTGAGCATCAGATAACTAGAGTCTACAGCTTTGCCATTTCCCCATTCTGTGGAATTCTGGAGGGCCTTCTAGGGACAGAGTAATTCACAAGGCTCACACCCCAGGAGGTCTGCCCAGGGGGGCTAGCGGTGACTGGCTACCCTGGTGGGCATCCTCTGAGACCCGATGACTCAGAACGTACCTGCTCGGACAAGAAGTGGAAGAGCGATGGACACTCCGCAGAGCAGCCAGGACGGCGTCCTCATTTTGGGCTGCGGGGAAGGAAGAAGAAGCTGGGCGGGGGACAAGGCACGGCGCCGGCGCCCGCGCCCCCAAACCCCTCTCCGGCTTCAGAGCCCTCGGAATCCCAGAGACTCCCGACCCGGGCCACTTCACCTGAAGCTCGCCACGTTTTCCCCAAAACTGGCCCTTTCCCTGCCCCTTCTTACTCCCAACGTCCGAGCTCGAGAATGCGGGAGCGCGGGGAGAGGCTCCCTGGTGGCGTCCCTTTCTGCCACCTGGCAGCGAGGCAGGGTCGGCGTCTAGCGCGCCCGGCCGTCTCCCCGGGTCCCCAGCGTGGCGCCCCGGGAGCCTCCCCTGGGCGGCCGTGATCTGCCGGGTCCAGGCGCTCTGAAGCTAAACCCCAAACTCCTCGGGCAGAAGCCAGCGCAGGCGTAACTGGCAAGGGCCGGCAGGAAAGGATGGAGGAACCCTGAGCGACACCGCCACCAGACCTGAGGGATAACGCAGGCTCGACCCCTCGGCCAGGTCACGGGTCGCCTCCCCAAGGCAGCCCCGCCAGTGGGGAGCGCCCCGGGAGTCCTGATCTCTGGCCTCCCAGTCGTGCACATTTTTGTGTCATCTGTCACTCCACACCTTTCCCACCGTCAGCGCGCCACCTGCGCCTGGCCCGGTCAGTCTACCTGCCTGCGAAATCCGAGTGAGCAGGTCCCAGAAGAGAGAAAACAGGTCCCGAACCCCGTCAAGGCGTTTTAATTCCTTGGCACCTCCTGTCCTCCGTGGGAGGGGTAGGCCTATCTTCCCCAGTGGAGGGCAGAAAGGAAGGGGAAGTGGGTTAAAAAATCCTTTTTGCCTGATTACCCAGCAGACAGCAAGTTCTTCATCACTAGGAATGTCTACTTAAATCTTCCAAATCGTCTCTATAAATGAACTATTCATTCTTTCAAATCCCATGTGAGCAGTTATTAACACGCCCTGCGTTGGCCTATATGGAAGCAATTGGAAGCCACCCAATGGCTTCTAAGGAATGTTCTTAATCTGCCTGAGTCACGCCCTTTAACTTCTGTGAAGCAGGCATGGCATGGTAATCCTCCATACCCTTGAGTCTGAAGACTTTTGCCTAAAAAGTTCTCAATAGATCATGTCAACAGGGACCTGTTAGCTTGGCCATCAGGAGTCACTCCCAAGTTATCCCATGGGCACTGAAAGAGAAAAATTTAAATTGTAATTTCCATTCAATGGATTCATAGGCAAAGTTATTTCTAGTGGTCTTCCTGGGATTAAAGAGAATGAGGAGGAAATAAAAGAGCAACCATGGGAGCAGAGAGAATGCAGTAATTGCATTAACAGCAAAGCATCTACACCTAGAAAATATTGAGAATTTCAAAGCCTTTGCTTGTGTGGGTTATGCCTGCCAATATTACTATACTTGAGATCATAAAGAAGAACTCTAAAATACTTACTTTCTCATTAATTTTAAATAATGACCCTATTGCATGTTGAAATAAATATATGCATTTTATGAAAATGACTATACTATCAAAAACAAACTTATTGAGAAGAGTGTGATTGCTCTACATGCTTATAAAATTTTTGAGTATCTGGCTTAATAGAAGATTAAGTGGATCATCCCATCTGCTTCTGTATCCAGTCTCATGATATAATATATCATGTCATCTATGAAAAAGGCCACCTTACACTAGTGAGAATTTAAAAAGTCAAATGAAGTCTTACTATGGTTATGAAAAGAGTTTTGATTTCACAGATCTCTTTAAAGGGTCTCTGGGAGTCTCCTAAGTCTCCCACACTTAGAGAACTCTTTGTTAAGCTCTAAATGAATATCTTTATTATTTTCCCCTAACATCAGCATTGAATGAGCCTTGTCTGTACATATTCAGGGTTTGTCTTCGCCCTAAGCAAAACAAAGATGTGACTATAAATAATGTGATTCCCATAGAGAACTGAGGCAGGATAGAAGAAATAAAATTAGATAGAAAGGAGACATAAAGAAAATATAATTTTAACATATTTTCCAGGCCTGCCATTCCCCAAATCATTCACTTTCTCAGGACTGTCACTCTCAAATATCTGGGAAATCTGTAACTCTGTCTTGTGTACTGTTAAAGAGACATACAGGCATATTTAAAAAAAAAAAAAAAAAAAAACCTGCAATTTAGGGGACTTTTCAATGTTATTTACTGAATTGGATCATGGAGACCCCATGTCAAACTAAGGCTCCTCAGAATGTGCAGAAGACCAGAAAATGTCTTAAGATCACTAGACTAATGTCATCCTCTTATACCTTCCCATATTACTACTTGTGGAGTGTCCTTTAAAAGAAGAGTCAGGAACCCAAAAACATGCCTCTCAAATCTGCAGATGTCCCACATTCTCCTTTGAATGTCTATTCTTTGCTTTAAACAAACAAACAAAAACCCTCTGTCTCTGCCAACATGTGCTGAAATTTTTTTCTGTTGTATGTCAAGGACCCTGCTTGTTCTGAGTCAAGTTTTCCACTCTTGAGGAACTCCTTGGGACCCTCTTCCAGTGATATATTTTTCTCTAATGACAGAACTATTGCCATGAGCAGTGTTGCAGATTATTTCCGAATCTCTTTATTATGCTCCTTTTCCATTTGTACCTCCTGAATATATGCACTCTTGTGTCCTATCTTGTTTCTGTGGTGTGAGGACTGGCATGTACACCTATTCCATTTGAAGTAGATGCCACAAAGTTTGTGAGGTTAGGACAGTGAACCCCCATAGTGATTGGTTTTTACTGGACCTTACTGACATTACACTTTGCTAGTGACTTTAAGGATCTGATTATACTTTCCAGGATGGTCACATGCATTTCCTGATACATGGAGAATGAATTGTTTGGTTTTTGAAGACAGAACTGATTTGGCGATTGTAAACTTTGCAATGAAAAACAACATTATGTTAAGTGAAATAAACCAGACACACAAAAACTAGTACTGCATGTTCCCTCTCATAAGTGGAATTAAAAAAAAAAATAAAAAATCAACTTGAATGTAGAATAATAGCTAGTGGGTTGATAATGAGGTAGATGAAGGGAACCTGTATTTGATCAACTCATGCTGTATTTGTATTGAAATATCACACTGAACACCATTCATATGTACAATGAATACATGCTACTTAAAAATTTTTTTAATTAAAAAAAGGAAGAAACTGTAACATTTATTGCAGGTTCTCGGTTGCCCTGAAGCTGGATGGCATGGTTTGCCAATGAGAAAGGGGAAGAGAGAGATTCAAATGAAATTTCTTTTACAGAGGCTCCAGGTGGGCAAGTTTAGTTTTGCTTTGTAACGCACTTGAGAAAAGTTGCTTTATGCTGAAACTTCCTGGATTCAATCACTCCATCTTCCATTCTATTCTTCAATATTAAAATTTTCTCCTGAAATGTAGATCATGTAGTATTTAAGGGCTACAGAATTCAAAACAAGTCATAAGTGACGTTAGCAAGGTCCAGCTTACAATCAATATTCATCCAGTTTCCCGTGTATATTCCTCCCACTCTCCAAACTAACTATCCAGACTTGGTGCTTATCATTCCTGTGTGTGTGTGTGTGTGTGTGTGTGTGTGTGTGCGCGCGCGCGCGCGCGCGCACATGCATGCTCCTTAAGCAGTAGAATATCCTATTGTATGAATTTGTCCCGATTTATATGTCCATCTCCTTTGGACAGTTTGTTCCAGATTTATATTTTGCTTTACAGGTGTGCGGCTGTGACAATTCTTGTGTCTGTATTTGAGTGCAATTGCAGGATCAATGTGAGGTAGGATAAAAGAAATGTTGTAAGAAAGGAGACAAAAGGAAGCTGTAACTTTCATCTGTAAACCCTGTGTTAAAGTTCCTCATTCCAGCCCCCTTCACTGCCAGATCACTTTTTATCCCAGGCTTGTTACTCCCAAATGTCTGAAAAATCTACAAATCTTAAAGATACTTAATTCCACTCATTAATAAAAATTGACCTGTGCACTGTTAATCAGCCCATGTAATGTACTAGCACATATGTTTTTAAAATAGATCAAGTTAAGTTTTCACCAGGACAAAGGTCTTAATATTCACACCCCGAGTTTGAGAGGTGGACCTCAAACCCAGGGTGTGAGTATCCCTGACATCATCGCAAGGACATCAGAGGAACCTCAGGACTGGTCAAAGTGAAGCACAGATTAAATATATTGAGGGAAAGAAAGGCATGCACACTCTGAGAGAAGGGATAGAGTGTGGACATTGGAGAGGAACAGGCCAGCTCCATCTCAGCTGGGCATATTTATACACATAAGATCAATATTAAGGGACAAGAGCTAATAGTGTGTTTTTCGTTCTCCTTTGTGTTGGTATCTGGGTGTGTTGACAATTACCAGGACAGAAGGGGTCATTTCCTGACATGACGTTATCAGGATGGGGGTCATTTACTGATGTGTTGATCGTTAGAAATGAGTGAAGGATGGGGGGTCACTTTCTTCTTTGTTTTCTACATGCTCTACATTGTGAAAACAGTGCTACATTAGTGTACCTGTGGAAAAGTCTAATGATTGATTTAATTGTGCTGTTTGTGATCAAGATATGTAAAAGTAACTATCAGATCTGGAGTTTAAATAGTGGTTAGTCCTGTATTGACCCTCATGTCTCCTTTCTACCTATTTTTATGTCTTCTATCGTACCTCAAAAAGAGATACAGGAAGGAGAGGGTCATCATTATACAAAGTACATGTATGAAGATGTGAAAAAAAAAAAAAGAAATCTATAATACAGGGTACATTCCAAATATTACCTGTTGACCTGGTAGAGGAGACATTAACTTAAATATCCTGAGAGTCACCAGACTACCATAAACCATCTTATGACCACCAGAAGGGTGTCATCTCCAAGTACTTTCCCATGCTTACCCTTCACAAGGTTTCCTTTAAAAAGAGGAGCCCATGCCTGGTGTGATGTTGCACGCCTGTAACCCCAGAAGCTTCAGAGGCTGAGGCAGAGGATAGCAAGTTCAAAGTCAGCCTCAGCAACTTAGTGAGGCCCTAAGCAACTCAGTGAGACCCTGTCTAAAATAAAAAATAAAAAAGGGCTAGGGATATAACTCAATGGTTAAGTGCCCCTGGGTTCAACAACAACAAAAAAACCCTTAGACCCTAAAAATGCATGTCACTCTCAAGGTCACCCACAATCTCCCTTGAATGTGTACTCCTTGCTTTCCTGAATAAATCACGGCTTGTGCCTCTGCACATCTTGAAAAGTCTTGTCTGCAATATATGTCAAGGACCCATCTGTGGTCCCCACTCTGGGACCTTCTCAGACTCCCTCTCATGACAATTGAACAGAGGCATCTTCAACTATGTTAGCAAATTCCTACTTTTTTCCACAGTCATATTCTTTAGAGAAGAAGAGTTTCATTTCTTCATATTCTTGACAATATTTGGTAATGTTACAATAGTAAATATTGCGAGTTTTGCCAGTCTGGTGGTATAAAACCTATCTTGTGATTTTTTTTTCCACTTCCTAATTACTAGGAAAGAGGAACATCTTTGCTTATGTTATCAACCATTCATATTATATTCTCCATGTGAAATCCCTTTCATGTTTCTCCTTTAACCCACTTGTCTGCATGCCTTCATATCACCTAT